GAAAGTTTACGATGAGACAGATTTCAGAATAAATGTATTGATGTGTTGTTGGTGGATAAATTTACAAATTAAGAGACACAGAGGGGAATAAGAATAAAAAAATAAGACATGTATCAACTGTGTTTATGTTATACTAGATTTACTTAGACTTAGACAAACTTTATTGATCCACAAGGGAAATCATTTGGACACAGTAGCTCACTCGTCACAATGTAATATAATATCTAAATCCACTTTATTTATACAGCACATTTCACAAACAAAGAAATTTCCAAAGTGCTGCACAGAGATCATAAAAAACAAAAAACAAAAAGCAAAAGGTATAATAGCTAAAAATGTGGTCATACTAGTCGTGAAACAATAAAAAATATGCAGTGTAATAGTGTTCTAAAAACAAACAAACAAACAAAAAAACAGCACATTTTTTAAGGCAACAATCACCATTTCATCTTTGCACTGTTTTCTCCTTACTACCTCTTGTATATAGCTGAGATATATTTGTATTACTATATTTTTATATTTTTTTATTTTTACTTTTACATTTATCTAATCTAATTTATCCTTTTTTTTGTATTTATTTTGTATTTAATATTACCAGTTATATTTTTGCTGATATTTGAGCTACTGTGTCCAGATAATTTTCCTTGCGGATCAATAAATTTTGCCCAAGTCTAAGTCTAACTTCAGAGATAAAACCTGTGCATTTTTAAGTGAACAAAGTGCTACAAGCTGATGGTTGTCGTGGCCGGAGCAGTCACAGCCTTCATGACCCCAGTTTGACCTTCACAGCAGGAGCCCATGTCTGACACCAGGAACCAGACGAAACACAACTTTCTCCACGGACCATGGAGCACAGCTGTCCGCCCCAGTTACTACACACATGAGATAAATGAACTGACAAGAGACAGACTGCCATGTATTTGATTTGGTATTAGGCCTGTCATGATAATCACTATATCTACTTATTATTCAATATATGAAAGGTGGAACAATCGTTTTGAGGGGGTCAATATTTATCATGTCATTTCCTTTGCAAAAGTGAAGATGTTTTTGCCATATTTATGTAATAACGTAAGATTTGAGAAGTGTTCGCAATTCTCTTACATTATGGTATATTAGGTACATTATGTAGCATGTAGTAAACCATCTTATCAAAAGTGTGAAAGATAGAGGGACATACAGCCTCCAACATCTACTCATAATTATTCCCTTACCTGACAAGCCAGAACCACATGCTTTGACAAAACTTTACAAAAAATGAGTGGAATTGGAGCTATATCCTGTCTCCCTGGGTGTGAAGAGGTGGATTAACTAATCAGAGATATGCTTCTTTTGTGTCAAAAACAAACAAAAACACAGAACAGACTGAGAAACAGTGCAGATTTTTGCAGAATCAACAATAGACGCACCAAACTATTACTAATGTCAGATGAAAAAGTTATATATTCATTCAAAATGTTACAAGAACTTTCAAGAGGAGACGTCTTCTGCATTTGAAAGACATGTGATATAAATTCAGGGCTGTGGTTGGATCATCTCTCAAGTTTGGACAGAGGATTTTCATGCTCTGTGGTCTGATTCCAGATCCTACTAACTTCAATCAGAATGTAGAAGGGACTGGCTGGTCAGGGAAAAGTTTGCCTGCATTGGGGAAACATATTTGTCAGGCGTTCAAAATGTTAAGTTATGCCAAAGTGAAAACAGTGCCATCTCCCATAACGACATGATGCCAACATAGATAAAGCTGTTGGTAAAACAATGAATAGGGTAGTTTTATGTTTCTTGCAATATGAGAATGTCTTTGTGTCAATAGACGAGCAGAAGGCCTCAGCGTTTTGAGAATGATTCTCCGCTCTGACAATTTGATAAATATCTTTCATCATTCTTTATGCTTATAGTTGTCCTGCGTAAAGGTCTACAGGCAAAAGGCTAAATCTAAAACAACTACCGGTTAAACTTTTATAAAAGATATTGTATCTGATTGTATGGGCTTGTGAATGTAGTGATAAATCGCTAACTAAACTTTTGGGGGCTATGCATTCTCATCCCAGGTTAAGGGTCACAGAGAAATAGAAGGATTAAAACTTACGATCATTTGTGTCCAGGAGACATCGACAGATAACTCTGTGAATGCCCCATTAGGCTTCTTCATTCACTGGCTGTCATACGAGAGCGGAAAGAGAAGAAAAGGCCACTAACAAGATGCATATTTTACATTGAAAACTGTTTTTGTTGGGCTCCTAATCTGGCCCACCATCTGAGAGGAGCACAGAGCTAAAGAGAGGGGGCTCAATAGGAAGAGCGGAGAGGAGAGGGAGGTGGAGGCAGGGCGGATCAGTTGGGAAGTGTATGCATGTTTCTTTTTCTCTATGGGGAACTTTGTATTTGACTGTTGTTTGTATCTGTCTTTCAGTGGCCTGATCCCCGTGGGCCTGGACAGGGAGATGCTTCTATATGTGTTTGTGAGGAGAGAGTGATGCTGAAATCTACAGCTGCAGCTCAGCGGATTAGCCGTCATCCACAAGGCAACATTACACAAGTAGCCTTTGAACAAAAGTCATGGATACTATTAATGATATGGTAATCCCTAATGGAGCTACCTCCCAGTAGTGATTATACTGACATGGGAAGAATGTCCAAGAGTCCTGGACGCTACTCGCCAAACAACACTGTGGCTATTGTTGCAGGCCTGGTCTGAGGCCTGCGCTCACTTCCACTGGCATGAGACGACCAACGGCCCCACAACTGACACCCTCCACCCATCGCCCTGTGAATAAAAATGAAACACAAAAATGGACGGGCTGTGGGTGAGGGAGGACAGGAGGATTTGTGCATGTGGTTCCCACACTGAGGTTCTGTATCTCTCTCTGTGTCCTGGTCCATCCTCGAGCTGCAGCAGGACCACACAGACGGGCTCAGATTTAATCTCACAGAGCTGTAGGAGCCACTCAGGTCCTATAGTCCACTAAACGCTCTCTGCTGGACACACTGGAGGACTCTTTAATCCCCAGGGTTTGAATATAACTACTGTAGTGATTTTCAAATGCAGCAAACTCAAAACAGCAACATGGTTCTTATGGCATTTTGTCATGTAAAATTGTACAATTAGTACATAGGAACTAACATGTGGTGACAGAGTTGTCCTTAATCATGTCTACAGATACAAACAATATCAGATTTGTTTGTTGCAGCCTATCTTATGGAAATCACTTAACATGGCATTTTGGCCCTTCCTGTGCTGTGTACCAGAGCAGTAGTGTGTGGTTGTGTGTGTGAGGTGGCTCTCTGGGCATTATTCATGCTAATATTATGCCTCCCTATTACCACACACATACCATAATCTGTTAGTAGCCTATAGGATGACATTTGAAGTCATTTATTTTACTCTTTATAATGTTTAAGGATATCCTGCATACAATAAATAAATATTGATTTTGGAATTTGGGTTACAGCAAACACACTGTTTAATACCTCAAATAAAATATAGTTGTGGTGTAAAGATACTGTTTCAAAGTGACTGTGGAGAGCTCTCGTTAAATCAATGAAATTTATCAATAACATTAAAATGCCACTCCATCACCATTAGACCAGCCCTGGATCATGAGCTTTGTAACAGGCCTGTCCTTGCTTGACTGATATGTCAAAGTTGAGGACACAGCGAAAGAGGAGAAAGAGAATACCACACAGGCACTGACATCGGGATCAATCCGATTGGCATGATTTAGCATTTGGACGTTTTGAATAAAAATGAGTGCGCTAGACGGTGGAGCAGTTTGATTAGTGAGCTCCTTAAGTCCCTCGGAGCCCATTCTCCGTTCGTTCACTGCCCCAAAGAAAAGTCCCCTTTCTCTCCTTTCACTGGTCCCTTGGTAGGCCAGCTTTTTCCTCACTGTTGGTATTACAAAATCCCTATTGAAAACAGCTCTTGTCACCTGTCAACTAAGCCAGGCTGGTTTGCTAGATCTTTATCCTCAACACATACGTACACAGAGGCTGACTCCCTGCCCCCAGCCCCACATTCATACAACCATATCCCACCCACTAAAACCGCATGTCAGAGAGCTGCTGCTATAGCACTTTAAATTCATTACCCTGTTCACTTTAACAAACTGGGACGGGCTGGTTTTCGGCTTGTTTCTGAGCGGTGGTGAGGTGCTGTAGCTCTGTGGGAGGGCCCTGCTGAGTAAACACCAAGTTATCATAATCTAAGAACAACTGTCCAAATTAATATTAGAGTATTTATGTTGTTTGTCATTGCTATATAGTTATACTCTATGACACTTGTGGATCGTTATGTTGTCATTTGCGCATTTTAAATTACAATATTCATTTAAAACAACTTAACTGACTGACTTCTGTAAACTTCATCACAACAAAGACCTGTGTAGTTGTCAGCTTCTTCAATGGATAGCTGCAGATCACACTAGTTATGAACAGTGTTTTTTTTTTTTTTTTTTTAAATACCAAAATGAGTACACCATGTTGCTAAATCCTACACATATCACTGATTAAGAAAATAAAATTAGAGAACAAAGTAAGTACAGAACAGTAGGTGTATGCCTGTGGAGGTAAAAAAAAATGTATCGGAAATATGACATCTTGAAAATAAGTGAATAAGTGATTAAAGATTGCTCATACATGCTCGAATCACTCTAAATACAACTTTGGGTGAGAAAATGGCGAGGAGAAATGACTATTATATGGTTAAAATCTCTGAAAAGTCAATTTTAAGCCCATAGTAAAATAAAATATAAGAACTACACAACAGCGTGGACGGAGTAGGGCTGAAAGCTGTGCAGCAGCTGTACAAACCTGAGCTTGTGTGTAGGAGAGCTCAGCGGAGGAAGCAGGAGGGTCACACAGAGGTTGATGGACCCGGTCACTCAGGCTCTGCCCCGAGCAGGCGTCACTCATTAACCCTCTGACAGGAGCAGCTCAGGCGCACAGGTTAAAGGTCAATCTGGCCCCTCTTCGGCCATCAAATCAAGATGGACACAGCAGCCGAGACTTATCCTCCAATCAAAGGGTCAGTGATGCGGTGTCAGGAGCACTAATAGACACACATCAGAACAAATTGATTTATCAAACATTTATGGCTTTACGGATAAACTATGACAACAGGAGCCAAAAGAGTCATGAAGACGTGAGACTAAACTCCTCTGACAGTTAGAGCTGAGCTGGAAAAGAAACATGATCTCCTACTGTGTTGAGAGCAGTGCAAATGGTAAATTAAACTAAATTAATGTTTCCGCAATCTAGATTCAGATACTTTTGAATCCAAATACAATTTCAGATAATCTCTCTCTTTTTTTTTTTTTTTCTTTTTGTCTTTTACAATAATGTTTGGCTGTTATTTCAGTATATCACAGACATAGAGAAAGACGAATAAAAAGCAAAACATACACATCTGTTTTTATGGAAACTGTGTGTGTTCCATTGAGAGGTTGGGGATATGCTAAAAAAAAAAAAGTCATCAACATTTTTTGGGCCTAGATCACAGTGTTGATTTCCTCATGATTCATAAGTTGATCAGTTTATGTCTGGCATGTGCTGCTTGTTGCTTGGGAGTTGTCCAGTCCACCTCACTTATGTAGAGCCTGAGATCAGCCACTAGAAGCAAATTTGTTTAAGTGTTTGTGTTTGAGTATAGTTGTGTTGAGCAGTATTTAACAGAAAACTGAATCACAAAATGACAGAACTATTGAAATATACTGTATGTATCAACTAAAATCCCTCAAAAAATCCCTCAAAAGAAAAACCTCAAGGAGAACCACAATGAAAAAGAGATCCACACTCATGGACTAAACCAGAATCAAACGAGGACTAAACCAGGACTAAACCAGGACTAAACCAGAATCAAACGAGGACTAAACCACGACTAAACCAAAATCAAACAAGGACTAAACCAGGACTAAACCAGCATCAAACGAGGACTAAACCACGACTAAACCAGAATCAAAGGAGGTCTAAACCAGAATAAAACGAGGACTAAACCACAACTAAACCAGGACTAAACCAGAATCAAACAAGGACTAAACCAGGACTAAACCAGCATCAAACGAGGACTAAACCAGGACTAAACCAGAATCAAATGAGGACTAAACCACGAATAAACCAAAATCAAACAAGGACTAAACCAGGACTAAACCAGCATCGAACGAGGACTAAACCACGACTAAACCAGAATCAAAGGAGGACTAAACCAGAATAAAATGAGGACTAAACCACAACTAAACCAGGACTAAACCAGAATCAAACAAGGACTAAACCAGGATCAAACGAGAACTAAACCAGGACTAAACCAGGACTAAACCAGAATCAAATGAGGACTAAACCATGACTAAACCAGGGCTAAACCAGGACTAAACCAGTATCAAACAAAGACTAAACCAGTACTAAACCAGGATCAAGCGAGGACTAAACCAGGACTAAACCAGGATCAAACGAGGACTAAACCAGGACTAAACCAGGCCAGGCAGGCTGCAGATGTTTAAAGGATTCACGCACATCCATTTGAAGGTAAAGTGAAGCTATTATACTAATTATTTTTCATTTTCATGGCTTAATAATGTGAAAATTACATAATAATAATAATAATAATTGTGTTACCTTTAAATCCCCCATCCAACTTTGTTAGGAGGTGATGTCATTTCTTTTCCTTCCTTGTTTCTATCTGAAAAGAAAAACACAAGTGCATGGGTACATAAGGTGAAGACACTCAGTACCACACAAAAACCACATGACAAAAAACACACACATTTACATAAATACCAACGCACACGCACAATAGAACCACTACAGGTCCAACCTTTTAACACAGTCTACCTCATTTCACTCAAGATGACATTATTCAGCGCTTAAGATCACCACTAATTTGGGACTAGAGCCAGATAATGAAGTCCGTGCTGAACCAGAAAAAGGATCCTTGGAGGTTTGAAGAGCTGGTTTCTCTTCTTTGACTAAATGAATGCAGACCACACACTTAAGGGGGCGCCATCTTCTTGAAGGTAAGTGTATTACTCCAGTGAAATGAAGGATTCTTTCACTCTGAATACTTCACACTCTTGTAATAAAGTAAAGAAAACTAAAGATGAGGTGGGAACGAGGATGAAAATGTCACAGCTGAGTAATGTTTTGGTGAAAACAAATCAGGCACTTTCTTGGACACAGAAACACAGTCTGAGCTTTAATACTAAACTCAAGTGGAAGTACATACATTGATTAATCCGATGATTTTGTTTTTATTCAGAGGTGTACTAGTAACTTCTTTGGAGGAAGGTACATCACCAGCCTATTTCCCTGGAGATGTTGAGATGAAAACAAGCAGGTAAGTATTTTTAAGAAGCTAAGACTCTTGTAATAATAAATGTGAGATAGATGAGTTCAAAACCATATTGTGAAACATTCTTAGCAAGGAATATGTGAACTGATAGTAGAATAGATAATGAAAGAGTAAATAAAAAAAGATTTTTCATGAAACATTTTGATTAAAACACTGCTCTGCCTGAACATTTTCTCTCAGCCTGTTTTGGAGTCTGTATAATAATTATTTGATCTCAAAATTTTCAGTAATTGATTAGTTGCAAATAATAGATCAGCCTGTTTCAGCCCTCTTGACTGAAAGGTGGTTTTCTAAAGTCCCGAGAGAGATTAAACAAATACAAGAGTCTATACTGGAGAAAATGAGTAAACTTTCCAATTCTTGAAGAAGATGTGTGCAAAAGATAAAACAAATGTCAAGTCTATATAATGTCCTCTAGCAAACATCCTCTTTGAGACCTGTAGACTTTACGTACTCATCTGATCCAATTTCACTCATCCAATTAACGTAATTTTGTCTGGGAGTCCTCCACTTTTAAGATCTAATTGGATAAGGAACAACTTTTTGGGTGAAGAAATGAATGAAGTGAAAGTCATTATAGATTTGTGGACTGCAACGTGAGCCAAAGGTTGCAGGATTCAATGCAGAGAAATGTTTTAGTTTGATGTAAATAAAGTCGTCTACAAAAGGCAAATAAAACTGATTTTTCTTTATTTTAATACAGCTATGAGTTGATTAGAGAGGAAAGTATAGAATGTGTGTCAAATATAGGATAGTTTTCTGTGGGCTTAGGAGCAAATCTGCTTAAATATGCATAAAGAATATATGTAAATAGCTATATTTGAACACTTAAGTCCAAAGGAGGAACTACAAAAATGTGACTGCACTGCTCTCTTATCCAGTTTGTAATAAAACAAGGTTGTGAATGAGTTTGTACTAAAGAAAACTTAACCATCTGTGTCCTGTCTTCTGTGCCAATATGATTCCAAGAAAAGTTTTACCAGCAGAAAGTCAAACAATCAAATCAAGCAAAATTTACTACATACATTTTCCTCCTTCCTTGTGGTATAGATAGACAGTCCCCACTTCCCTCCCTCATGCCGCCCCTCAGTTCCCCATGGGCTGTGTGTCTCCTGTCTCCGGATTGGTCATGGAGGATTGATTGGGCATCCGTGGGCACTCTCTTGGGCACAGTCCTGGCTGAGCGGGTCAGACGTCAGCTGCACGCGACTCTTTCTCTACGTTTTGACTCGTATTGTCTCCAGTCACAATCTCTGACATTTGTGACGACGGACTGAGAGCCAATAAAGAGAGGTAATCTGCTTTCCCTGCAGCCTGTGGTGCCTGTGGTCTGTGGCGGTGAGACCAGTGTACTGTGGATCGGCTGGATCTGATTTAAAGTGCCTATGACAGATTAAACTACTCATCTGACCAAAACACAGTAAAGACCATTATAGTTAAGATTTAAGATGAAATTTCACTCTTTTTTCTCACTTTGGCCAATATGCAAGTTTTAAATTTTACTTCCCAGTTGGAAAAAACGGCTCTAATGTACGCAGATTATTTTGATTAAATAATGTTCAAAGTGTCAGAAAATTCTCCCTAGTGTAATGTTATCAAATGAAACTGTCTAAAATAGAACTATTCCTGTAATTTACAATATATTTTTCAACTTTTCTTCACAAATTGCGTCTCGATTGGTGTACAACTATAATTTGTATTTACAATAGTTAATAATCCATTATATTAAGTCAAAATTAGAGAATCATAAAACCATATGCACTTGAACACTTGGCTGGTCGAATAAAGCTTTGTCTAAGTCTAAGTCTAAGTCACACTGTGTATCTTTTCAAGTAGAGAGCCAGCCTGTAACTTGTCACCATGGAGAAGTTATTGCTTTACCTCCTGTATTCCAAAGTATGGCATTAATCTTTTCAGTCTCCATGGTAACAAGCAGGAGACGCCACCAGGCCAGGATCTGTGAAGAGCTGACCCCACTCACAGTAAGAGTGCTGGTTTTTAAAGCTGTTTTTGAGCAATAAAAACACCCATAATGAAATAAATGCCTCTTATATAAGTTTAATGCCATATTGTGGAACATTACAGGCAAAGCAATAGCATCTCCATGGTAGCGGACACCCAGCGAACCCCCAACCTTTTCAAACAAATATGATTGTTTTCATTTTTTTATTACTTAACCTAACATGTTCTCAAGAGACAAGCAGGGGGGTGTCAACAGACCATGTTACAGGTCAGATCATTGGAGAGGCAAGCACAATCTCAGTAAGACTGCATGTATTTTGTGGTATTTTCTGCAATAAAAACACCAGTGATTGAATTATTGATTGATAGACATACTGTGGAACAATCTTGGCAAAAGCAATAACATCACCATTGAGACAAGCAGGTAGAAAGGTTACACAGTGCACCTTTAAAAGACAGCCAATAGAGATATTTTTATTTTTTCTGTAAATGATTTTGAACAATAAGAATGTACTTTAGAATGTATCCACTTTAACTTCTTTGAAAAGATAATGGGTTATTGATGATTTTATTATTTTTTTTTATACATATACATACATACATATATACAATCTGGATCTGATTTAACAACAGAAAATTGTTTTAATTGTTAACACAGGGTCACTGAGGAAAAGAAAATATGATTCCAGGGTCTGAATGAGTCTATCAGATTAAAAGCAACCGGTGGGTGCATGCTGGTGCGTTTTTGGCCCTCATATCTGTGGTTTTAACCCAGTCTGACATTTATAATCTCCATTATGTGGCCCATCTCTGCTGATCTCAGATAGCCAGGGGAAAGACAGTGGGGTGCGAGCATGTAAAAAGATATTTGTCACAGTGGTACGAGATAAAATCAGTCACTGTAGCGGTTCATACTCGGCTGTGATCGGGGGGCTGGGGGTCACACTGTCTGACACCTGCAGCTCTTCAGACTCAAAATGCAAATCCTGACCCAGACCCCCCCCCCCCCCCCCTCAGCCTCAGATCTGAGTTACTCAGAGATCTTTATCAGATTTCAATTTTAATATAAGACTGAGTGGCAGCTCTATCCACTTTTGGAGACAACAACTAATAACAGATAAAAAAGATAAACAAACAAAAATAGCACTAAGCACAATTTAGACTTAGACAAACCTTACTGATCTACAAGGGAAATTATTTGGATACAGGAGCTCACACATCATAATATAATAAAGAGAAAACATATACATGGTAATAATAAGTTCTAAATAAGTAGCAGAAATAGCAAGACAGTAACAACAGTGATCAAGTATTAGCACAGCAGGCCAGATAAAATGCATAGTTCCAGTTCACACGTTATAAAATTAAAGATAATTATAGTAATTTATGAAAGTAAGAAAGTAAATGAATTAGGCCTACACAGCACTCACTGACTTAAAGCAGACAGGTGCACGTGGGTCCTAGCAGCAGCCCCGTGCAGCTGGGTGTAAACCTTGACCTCTCGTGAGGGCGGCTCAGCTTTTCAGCGCCGTTTCCCCCATGATCCCCCCTCGTGGAACAACAGAGGTAGAGAGAAAAATAAAATAAAATAAAAAACACTCCAAATGTGGTGTGTTATTTATATAGGAGAGCGCACGTTGTCCTAAAAAATACGCACCACTGCCACCTTTTGACTGATTTATTAACTGCACTATTAATGTTGCCCACCGTTCAGAAAAAGTTAAAAAGATGCCTCAATATAGACCTATGCGTAGTCTACAGAACATTTAGTCTGGCACAGCCCAGCCATGGAGACTAAAATATATATATATATATATATATATATATATATATATATATATATATATATATATATATATATATATATATATATATATATATATATATATATATATATATATATATATATATATATATATATATATATATATATATATATATATATATATATATATATATATATATATATATATATATATAGACTGACTGATGAATGACTATTTGATGCAAATAGGCAAAGAAATTTCAGTCGGTTATCTAGGCCAGTCCATCAGCGCCCCCTAGTGGTCTTAGGTTGTATTAGTGGATTTTTTCCTTTTCAATTAGGTTTATGTGCGTCTATAAGATGTGGATCAACTATGGCACAGTGTTAAATGAGCAAATAGCACTTGCCAGTTGTGGTAGAATTAATATTTGATTGCATTTCATATGAGGCATAAAGGAGCAAGTGGCTCTCCTAAGCTTCCTTAAAGTCACAGTTTTAGCCAAAAAATGCCTTGACTCAAATAAACAGATGTTATTTATTTAATTCTTATTTTTGGCTGTGTTTATGATTATTATTATTATTATTACTGAAAAGCATGCGTCTTTATTGTGAGCAGGTGTGGATCTTCACAAACCTGACTCTTATTTGCCATGGAGGAGAGCTAAGGCTTTTCTCCATGGAAATGTTGACAATAATCTTCCACAGTATGGCATACATTTCAGGCCTATTTATCGCGACGGAAAATGTTGGTTTTAAGTTTCTATTTCCATGGAATCAGGCAGGTGTCATGCCACCTCCAGAAAGTTACATACAGTACCTGTGCATATCATATTATGTAGGCTTATAGGCCCAGGCCAAGGCGTTTTTAAAAAGTAGGCTATACAGACTTTTAGTGATTTGACTATTTTGAACAAACAGTAGTTTGTTTGCCCCCTCCACCTCCAAAATTACTGATTTATGACTATCAAGATGAATTATTTCTCAATTAGTCTAACGACAGTAAAAGACTAAATGCACCCTACTCAACCCCAAAAATGTCAATGCCATTTTGATGTGTTCTGTGTGTCAGTGTACATTTTCAATTATTCCATTGAAGTGGTCTCCTTCAAATGCCCCCGGTATGACTGACTTGGCCTCTTGAACATGGCGTTGACCAGAATTTGAACTTTAACCTAGGATATTTTTTCTATTCCGTGAAACGGTTTGTCAAAACGCAAATCCATCACTTTTTGTTTCTCGCGAGACATGGGGGAGATATATTTGGGCAGATGGAGGGGCTGCGTCCATTTGGAGGGGCGTTGGGTTTCCCTGAGGAGCTTGGAGATAGTTGAAAAGTTGGGGCTCTATTATCAGCACCTCCACCATGTCGGACGCAGTGGTCAGTTTTATGAAAGACTTTTTGGCCGGTGGCATCGCCGCAGCCATCTCCAAAACAGCAGTCGCTCCAATTGAGAGGGTGAAGCTCCTGCTGCAGGTAAATGAACATATCCTGTTATTCTAAGCCTGAATATATAAACGCTCAGTGTAAAAGTGTGTTTCTTGAATGGTCAAACTTGAGAGATAAATCGAGTTTGAAAACTATTTGAATGATGTTTAATTTTGTCCCGTGCGTAATTGCGCACGAGGCCTACTGCATGGTTTTACGCGCAGACTTGCTCTGGTTGCATGATAAAAGGAAGCAAAGAAAGTCATTTACACATTTTTTTCTTTAACAATTACTACGCCGTGTAACAGAATTACATCATAATAATACTGAATTATCAGTGAAAGTGTCTTTCTAAATTTAACTTGAACTATGTAATTTGATACAGACTTGACTCAAATAACACACATGTGCCGGGCCATAGCTAGACTGCAACATAATAACGAACAAAGTAGAAGTATCATAAAAATGTGTACATAGGATAAGAAATTGAAATTTAATTTCAGTTTAAATTCTAGGTTCTTTCAATGATTCCAGCTCTTACTTTGCAGGTTCAACATGCCAGCAAGCAGATCACTGCAGATATGCAGTACAAAGGAATCATAGACTGTGTGGTCAGAATCCCTAAAGAGCAGGGCTTCCTGTCCTTCTGGAGAGGCAACCTCGCCAATGTGATCCGTTACTTCCCCACTCAGGCCCTCAACTTTGCCTTCAAAGACAAGTACAAGAAGATTTTCTTGGGCGGAGTGGACCAGAAAAAACAGTTCTGGCGTTACTTTGCAGGTAACTTGGCATCTGGTGGCGCTGCCGGTGCCACCTCCCTGTGCTTCGTCTATCCTCTTGACTTTGCCAGAACCAGGTTGGCAGCAGATATTGGTAAAGGCATGGCAGAGAGAGAATTCACTGGTCTGGGCAACTGCATCGCCAAGATCTTCAAAACTGACGGCATAAAGGGTCTCTACCTGGGCTTCAATGTGTCCGTCCAGGGTATCATCATCTACAGAGCTGCCTACTTTGGCTGCTTTGACACAGCTAAAGGTGTGTGTATAACACTATAATCAGTATGTAGTAAGTATATTATTGTTTATGTTTTGTAAACATACCTCCCTCTTGTCTGCAGGTATGCTGCCGGACCCCAAGAACACACATATTGTGGTGAGTTGGATGATTGCTCAGACTGTCACAGCTGTAGCTGGTCTGGTCTCATACCCCTTCGACACCGTCAGACGTCGTATGATGATGCAGTCTGGACGTAAAGGAGGTGAGTCTGGTCAATAGCGGTGGCTGATGTCAATCACGTGACTCTGTTGATTAATGACGGTCTGTCTCCACAGCCGACATTATGTACTCGGGCACTATTGATTGCTGGAAGAAGATCATGAAGGATGAGGGAGGAAAGGCCTTCTTCAAGGGAGCCTGGTCCAATGTGATCAGAGGCATGGGTGGTGCCTTTGTGTTGGTGCTGTACGATGAGATCAAGAAGTTCACAAAATAAACTTTCTCATCTCCCAGTTCCCAAGGAAACCCTTCAACCTCGGTCTTAATTGTGAAGAGTGATAACAATGTGGTGATTGTGGGAATGTATTCCAGCCAAAGAAAAGGCTCCTCCAATAATTGTAAATATCCCACTTGTCAAACGGCACAGGTTGATGCGGGGTAACCTACTCAAGCTGGTGGTTCGTTGCTACTGTGCCAAAATACTGGACAATGCCACTTTCTGTTCCACATTTTACAATTTTTTGTTGTAATGTGGTCGTACTAATCCATGTATCCCAGCTCTTACATTGTTTTATTAATAAAGAGGTCTTATTCAAATGTTTTTAATTATATTTGTAGATAACAAATCAAATAAGGTATATATGCAGATATTCTTAAAACCATTTATTTAAAGGGAAAGTTGCTTTACATACAATATAAGGCTGTAACAATATTCAGTCATGTCAATGTTGGTCCGTCCAACAGTATAAAATGGCATGAGTTCTCTAAAAGACATAAAGTGCACCATAAAGCAAAATGACTGACGAGAATCAACCATCGCAAGCGTAAACAAACCGGTCACATGCGCAGTACCCATTCCTAAAAGTTTGTCATCTATCACACATTAAATATTGATATAACAAATATCAGAGGAGGGTAGTTTCTATCTTGTTTATTGTCTGGTTAACTCCAGGCTGGTGGCGCTGCTTTGAGTTTCCTCGTCCTGGGCACAGGGGTGCTGAACTCTGTGGCAGTAGACGTTGATCTGGTACTGTGATGGGAAGGTTTGTTTTGAATATGGCCCTTACCTGCTGAAAACACACAATTCATATGAATATATAACCTCATAATAAATTCAGTTATTTATATATTACATCATAGCAGAGTCAATGAAGTCACAATTGTCATTAAATAACAGCAAGATACTTTACTGGAGGATTTCTTTGTGGTGGTCTGGTAAACAGGTATTCCCAGGTAACCAGCCTGGCGCTGGTAATCAGCCAGTTGTTCCGAGCGCTTCATACCTGGGGTTGGCTTTACAGATTCAAGCTTTTTTAAAAATGCCTATAACAAATAAAACATTATGAGAACATTCCAGCAAAATCTTCAAACCGCAAATCAATGTTTTTTGAATATGCTATTAGTATTATTATTAAGTTGTACCCTATGAATTCTCAATATATCAGAAAACTACAAATAGACAGTTTGCTTTGGCAACTCTGTAAGGAAAAATTCAATTTGAAAGAAGCGTCTTCATTTTGGGAGCCACAGCAGAGAAAAAAATGTCTCAGATTTAGACAAAAATAGGATGAAAAATTTCAAATTCAGAAATTGGACATCAAGAAAAATATCAAACCAAATACAAAGAATGGTCAAATTAAAATTACTACTACTACTACAACAATCACAAAGTGATGCATGCAGCTACTCTTGCATATTCTACACTTGAATAGTTTTATAGTAAGGAATATTCTCCAGCAAGTCCATAATGTGAAAAACAAATACAAAAAAATGAAATTAGCAACAAAATAATTAGCTTAATAATTTGAGCAAAAATCAAAGCAAGTGCCCAGGGTGAAGTGTAATGAGCTGGTTCCACACAGTTGTTGCGTTACACATGTTAAGGGTAGAGTGGAAAAGCTCATCAGACAGCATATTCAATTACTTCACTCTAAGAATAGAGAGGGCGAAAAGCATTTGTGACGACACAGAGCCAGAACAGCGTGTTCTGCACAAGAGCCAAACATCCTAAACTTCACAACTTTTAACTTCAAATAACTTATAACAAATACACTGTATAAAAGTTAACATAATTACTTTAAGAAATTAATATTATAGTTATAGATTAATAATTATTTATTTGAATCAAGTTTCTGGAATTACTGGCTAACTGGTCAGTCAGAGGAGCACTATGGGGTGAGAGGAGAGCTCTGCAGAAGAGCACGGTGCTGCCTGCAGCGTGTGCCACCTGCTGCCATCTGTTCACTTCCATCGTGTCTGCTTTCAAGGGTGGCTCTCACAGACTGAAACTAACTTTACCACAACTAGTAACTGTAAAGTGCTGCGCAAACACAACATAGGATCACAACAAACAAAATTAATGAATGAACACACGTGTCTGGACCAATTGAAAGCTCAATGGGTTTTTAAATGAAGACAAGCTCTGCAGGTTGCTTTCTGTATGCAGTGTCTTTACCGTATTCAGCCATTTTCATACAGAAATACTTTCCACTCCAGTGAAAGCCCTGTGCAATAGTCAATATACATTTTTCTCCCTAAAACAACATTTAGAGACAATTATGTACTGCTTTAGATTAACATTAGAATTACATGAGAATATTACTGGTCGAGACACCATCAATATTAAAATTATTAAAAAAACCTGCAGTAATGGTTTATTAATAATTATTTATAATAGATAAACAATGATTTTTTGACCAGTATTATACACCAGTAATGATAAAGAATTGTGTTATACTCACTATATTGTCCCGCTCAATGCGTTTTTGTTCTCGCAGTCTGTTGAGGGCGCTGTGAGAAAGACGATTCAGTGGAGTGCTGGACGTCCCACAATGCCTCTGTCCTGATGCACTTCCTGGTCTTGAACCAAAAGAGCAGCGGGAAAGCTGCCGAAGAAGACGCTGGTTCTCACGATCTATGCGTTTGACTTCATCGTTGGAGAATGAGTAGTTCTTGCGATGCCTTGCACCAGTAAACTGCACCGCCACATGACTGTCCAGACGACTCCCTGAACTTAAGGAGTCTAAACAGAATGATTCTGGTTAAAATGTGCAGATATATATCACATTAATGGTTGGTGTATTTGACATGTCTACTCACAATCATCTTCCTCCTGACTGAAGTGCTCATGGTGTTGTGCACTATGAAGGCCACTGGAGGGCAAACTCTGCTGTTGCTCCACACTGTCATCTTCAGTTTCAGAGTGGTTTAGATCTGGGGACTGTAAATGGCTGCTAGCAGCAGAAGATATAGGACTCACATCTGTCACTGTGTCATCTGGCTCTTCTGAAGTGACATTGGAAGCACCTCCAGATGTTGCCGAGCCTGCTCTGCTCCCTCTGTGCCCAGATGTTGAAGTGGACTCTGTGTCTTTATTGGTCTCAGAAGAGGCAGAAGAGGAACACCTGCTATAAGTTACCTGTTTCTTATTTGTCTGTACATTCTTATTTTCTGAACCTGAATGTCTAACGCCTTCTTCATCTTCTTCAAAATCTTGCGCTTGAGCCAATAAGGCCAATAAGTATTTGCTGGATTTTGTACTGAGAACCTTTTCTTTATTGTTATAATTTCTTTCAAGACCTTTGGTGTTGTTATTCTCTGACCTTGGGCCTTCATTTGTCTCATCATTTGATGTAGTTTTTATGTTATCAGCTGGCTTTGGCTGTATCTTGTTACTTGTTGGTGAAATGTCTGTTGTTGTCATCTTAGTGTCCACTTTTTTACCATCCACTGCTTTTCCATCTTCACCATCACTATCAAAAAAGGTGTGATCCACTTCACCTTCAAGTTCACTAGGACTGAACATGACTGTCTGCTGTAAATCTAACCACTGGATCTGCATCAGAGGAGAAAACAGAAAATCAAAATGTAAACAACTAGCTGAATTTGTGAGTTAACATTTCAGATGCACATATCATTGAATAGTATAAAACTGTCACGTTATTTTGTTATGGCCAGGCGTTTGTAGCGTTACGTGTTTACCTTAAACTTAGCATTAATGGATCCATGTTGTTTTGTAAAGCTAAAGGTAAAGCTAAGCTAACGTCAGAGAAAGCTAAATCTAAATACCAAGCACTGTTTTACCTCCAAAAGCCTTCATCAAAGGATATTTACGGCTCCAGCACTCGTCGTTTCCATCTCAGTACAGGTAGAAAAAGGAAGATACTTGCAAAAATAAACATTAACATGTTCCGTTTGAGGAAAAGTTGGTGTGAGCGTGACAACCTGCGTGTAACTAAGAAACGTCACTTCCTGGCAACGGGCTGACCTCAGCACGTCACACGTTTTGTTTTATTTTGTTTTATCCTTTATTATTATATATTTTTTCTACAACCAAAACAACATACATGTATAAAGGGAAAATACATAATTATAATAATTTACAGAATATAGTATAGCTATGTATAATAAGAAATAATAAAATGATAATGTTGTAGACTTCATAAGGTAGGTCTACTTCAAATTGTACTTAACAAAGTCTCCAGAATATATTTTTTCTCTTGATGATCATGTACAGTATTCTGTTGTAGTAAATAATTCCCACAAGTGCATCTCCTCAAGTGAATAGATTATCTGGAAGCGCGTCCCATGAAATTACAATTTGTCACGGGTTTTTTTTTAAACACAGAAGTGACACACAGTAATGACAGGTTGATGTTCTGGGATAATAGCACATGAGCAAATAATGGTATAACCTATGTCTGGTCACTGTTGTAGAATTTACATCTCAATACATGATGAGCAGAGGAGGACTGAACATGTGTCTGGAGGCTTCACACTTGAATAATAAAAATAAAAATCAATAAAAACAGCAAAAAGTAAATCAGCCTTTCTAAGCTTCTGATCAAATAGCCATGTATGCACTTCGATGAGAGGCAATTGTAGTTGACCTTATTTGTGGCTGAGAGGTTGTTCACTGGAGGGATTGTATTCCAATAATGGTCAGTGTCGGACAGATCAGCTCTAATCAGTGCAGTCAGACAGAGCTGCTTGCCTTAGGGGCTCAGCATGTTCACGAGTGTCTGCTAATAATATGTTCACAAACTAGTCATTTGCCTTTGTGCATCAAGACAACATTTTATTTTAATGAATACTGGTCAGTCAGCTATAATTACAGGGGCATGATTAGTATTAAAATATTACAAAGATATTTTAATAAAGAACATTTTCATAAATAGTATTTTAGATCAGTTTTGCCTGTTAATTACATAAGGATGCTAATTTTAATTTTAAATTAGATTGTTTAAATTGGTCTAAAGCTTTGCATCTGTGTGACAATAACATCTGCAGGCTGGGAAAACTGTGGGAACTTAGATGACCTTTGGCCTCTGAGGCAGACACAGATTATAATAGGCTGTTTGATCCCAAAACTCTGGTCCTTTCCAGCCACACCAGCCCTGAAAACAAACAGCATAAAACTGTTATGTGGAAATATACTTTTTATATTTTGTTGGGAAGTTATCATTTTCATTTTTACCTTTTCTATGATCAGTTGTAAATCTTCAGCTCCTGTGTAATGAGGGTCTAGAATGAGGTACCTGATTTCTCCAGTAGTTTCACTCCAGGCCACGCCGAGAATAGTGTGAGCTAAAACTCCCCCTCCTGCAAAACCCAGAGTCTTATTAGTCCTCATATATTTTTTCTGTAAAAACTCAAAATTTCAACTACAAAAAGTAAAAAGGTTGAATATGAAATAAATATGAGGATTCAGTAAAGATTATAAGATTCAGATGTAAAGGGAAATAGCAGTAAAAGAATTACCAATCATTACTGGAGTTCCTTCTGTTGTGAAGTGGTTGGCCAATTCTCTCCCTTTGCTAGCCAACTCAGAACCTTGACTGAAGAGCAGAAAAAATTGAAGCACTGAATAATTATAATAATGTATTTTTCCCCAGTGATCTTCGTGAAGCTAGTTTTATTAACTAACCTGACAAACATGATCTTTGATGTTACTCCCATCAGTTCATTCAGTACAACCTGAACCTCAATTGATCCAATCCACTGACGAGACCCCACAAAAGAGGCTTGTTTGTCCCCAACGTTTACTAGAGCCTGCAATAATGAACACCAAAATTACAGTCAATTACAAAGTTTTTGTCTTTCCCAATCTCAATGATGTTATATATGCACATTCAATTTACTCTGCATATTCTATAGTTTCTACAGTTTCTATGTTATAATTTAAAAAAAGTTTTTTTAAGTTTTACAGGCCCTTCACACCTGCTGAATTTCTTTATGAGAGGGCACAGATCTGTCTACATATCCCTGTTGCTGAAACCAAGAGCAGATCGTCTGTAAGGAGCGATAAGCACAGCCCCAGCCATTGTCATCCATTCGATCCTGCATGTAGTGATGGTAGCTGTAAAGCCCCTGGACTAAATAAACCTGTAAAACACACACACTCATTATATATACGTGTTAACATTAAAAACACATGTAACATCCACAGAACTGACTGATTATTGGAGTTTTTACCTTTCCATTGTCGAGGGTAGGATGAGTAAGGGACAGATGAGGATTTCGGAGATATCCATCTTTATAGGGCTCATTTGGGAAGTGGTAAGCATTTGCTCTTCTAAAATAAGGTGTGTCATCTGGTAGGTCATACTTTTGATGCAAAGCCTAAGAAAAGTAGATGAGATAAATGCAGTGTAGACTTTATTTATCTGATGAACATATCTAGACTGAGCCTGACCTGTCGAGCTGTCTGTAGTTGGCTGTCAGGTACTCCTGCAGGATAAACAACAGTGACCAGTCCATGGGGCTGTGGGAGGAGGAAGTGGAGTGGTTCAGGGACCAGGATAGAAGTTCCCTTTAAGTGCAGCAAAGTTACTCTCTTCATCTCATTGAGCTGATGGGAAAACTCTTCCACCAGACGGAGACAAGCACTGCCAAGCCATCACAAAGTAAATGTAACATTTGTCTGATTATAAAGTCAATTAAAATAAATGAGGTAATGCTCACCCTCGTATTGTTTCACCAGAGCTTACACAGACAACACAGTCCATTGGTAGAATCGTGGACACAAAGTGTGATGTCTGAACTGTCCTGGCGAACACAGGCAGTTGAGCCGAGTGGGGGGCTCCAGGTCCAGTTGCCTCCATCATCAATCGAAGGTTTAGCACTGTCTGTGGCACAGACAGTAAAAATATAAGACTTCCTGTTTTTGATTTGCAGTGTTAACCTGGCTCACACGGGAATCCATCTAGCGGTACAAGGTCAGTCATTCTCTCTAAAATGTATTATTATTTACTTACATCACTGGAGCATTTTCTGGTCTTCTTTTTTGTAGATTTTTTGCCAACATTTTCCTGTTCACTTGTCCTGTTTTAAATACACAAGAGCAACAAAACATATGATTTCAATACATATAAATAAGGACATGTATGGATAGGTAGCTTGCATAAACCAACTACATAAACCATCACTAGGTAAAACTTACTGTGTCCACTGAGACAGCTCTTCACACAGGCTGTCTGGAGTGATGCCGTCTTGTGATATGTGGACATCTTTGTTTGGCCAAATGATGACAGGCCCATCACACAGGGTGAACACACAAGAGTCTGATTTGATGGCACAGCAAAGGGCTTCAAAAGTTTTGGAGATCACTTTCTGGATGTTGGGCACTGCATGAAACAAAGATTTTGTTATAAAAACATCTTAATAAGTCTAATAAATTAATATTATGTTAAATACACACTTTGATGGTCTCAAATTCTACCACATGTAGAATTATTACAGTATTGTATTATTAGGAGGCTGTCACAAGAACAAATTTCAAAGGGCGATGCATAAAGAAAGATGATAATGTTGAAACTAATTTATACCTCTAACACAATAACACAAGAGTAGATTTAAACCACAAAAATTATAAATCTACAATACTGTTAAAAAGGAGTCATAGTTATTCATTCAACATTTTATGTCTTAAATCTTATCGTGCAGCCATAAAAATAAGTAAAAATCTAGAAGTTTGGCAAAGAAAAACTAAAGACGATAAATTCTGACAAACAAAAATATTGTTCCAACTTTCATATACTGAACAATAAGTCGATACTGTAATTATCATGTCAGGCCTAATTGTTAGTAACAATAGAGATGATGCCATAGTCCCATTCCAGATGGAGGACAAAAGCCAGTTTGCCCCTTTGATTAAGAGCAATGGCAAGAGCTTTGGATGATTTTCATAAATAAAAAAGTGAGACATCCCGGGTTTGGCTGGTTGGTAATAATAAGTCAATAATTAAGTTAGTTAGTTTATTTATTTAATGAGACAGTGACAGTGCACTATATACATTAATCTTAACAGGAGAGATGCATTGTGCCAGGTTATAGCTCCAGTGCTAATTTCCACCTGTCGTCCCTGGGCAGGTTTCATTTTATTTATTTATTTATTTATTTATTTATTATTCAATATTTTACCAGGTAGTCAGTTGAGAATTTTTTTTTCTTATTTACAAGTACGACCTGGTTAAGAGGCAGAATAAAACATAAGCACAAACAGAACACACTCACACATCAACCATAACATGATACAGTGAAATGAAACAATAGAGACATAAGACAGTGAAACAATTGCAGATTAAAGATATAAAAGTGTTAAAAACTCTGTAAAATACACTGGATGGAGTTTAAAAGCTGACAGAGGTAAAAACAAACTAAGTTGATTGATTGATTGTATTTAATTGACCTTAGCTATCAGCTATTATTATTAAGGAAATTTGTTACGCACTCGGCACTAATGTGAGTCAGTATAGTCACATTTTCTTTGTGTTTTGGTCATTTTTAAGCAGTTTTTTCTGTAATTTACCTCAATAAATGACAATGTATGGTTCTGTTTACTGTTAACAGGTATCAGATTGGTCAAAAATAGGGACACCTGGGATATTTCTTGTATAAAACTGGGACAAATCACTTGTTTTAAATAAATCTGCTGCGACAGGGGACACAGGACTCAAAACTGGGTAATCTGGACGTCTGGTCAGCCCATATTATCTGTGTTACCCCCATGTATTTACCGTCTGTTTTATCAAAGAGACATTTAAATTCCAGAGGCCCTTTCACTCTCAGGATGATGCTGGATTCGGAAGAATTTGTATCAACCACCTGAAATGAGAGCAGAGAAAAAAGATTACAGGTCCTGTCGAAGACTCTCATAAGACTCAGCTAATAACACGAAAATAAAGGCTACCGATAACAGTAAGCTAAACAACAACATTTTTATGCACACAATTCATTCGGAGACGCACCATTATGAAATCCTCAGGAGCACACGAAAAGAAAAGAAGGTTTTATTCAGTTTTACAGCAGGACTGAGGGGACAGTCTGTGCACTGGGAGCTGACATGTCTGTTGTCCAACGTGTCTCTCTGCGCAGCGTCTGATTGGTCCACACTGACCCCGCCCACAGATGGTGCGTTCACTTTCTCTCGTAATTTAATATTTTCTCATAGCAATCCTTAATATTTACTCATATAAATAATTTTAAATTCGATTAGATTAATAACATGCAATTCAAATAATAGTAATTTTAATAATACGTTATTCTCTCGTGCATTTTTTCAGTTTACAGTGGCTTAACAAAGGTTTGCGGACCACTATGAGGGATTACTAGGCTACTGCTAACAGCTTTCTCTAAGTTAACCAGCCTATGGGCCACTAGGTGATGGACTGAAGCATGTTATATCTAATCATTTCAGCCCCAATGCTCCATCATTATGCAACTAGCCTACATGCTATAGTCTGCATCGTCTATAATAATAAGAAGATCTTATTATACTTCATGCATGCATTAGAAATGTCTGTCTGCACTGCTGGGTCCGTAAAATAAAGGGACTTGTTTATTTGCCTCTGCCTAACACTGGTGTAGTTTGTGGGCAAAGATTCATTGTGTTCAAATTATTCACAGTGAAAGCAGCTACATAAAGCAATTCTGTCTATCATCTGTTTTTCTTTTCCTTGAATGCACATGTGTGGCTGTGTGGATGTGCATGCACATTTCCCATGTCAAGTTCTATGAGCACAACATAAGTATAAATCACTGATTTAGGGATCAAACCATTAACCTGTTGCCTGGATAAAATAAGAAGTTTCATTTAAGAAATCAATTTGTGAATGATTGGTCAAGGACGAACATTTTCAACGATCAGCACCCACATTTGTGTCCTGAGCTGTTGTTGAGCTTTAATGAAAGATTAGGTGTTTATTGAGGTTTATGAAAAGTAATGCTTTAAATACCAGTTTGTAGAACAGCTTAATTTTTCATATTTGCTCTGGGACAGAGGCCATGTTGGTGGCAGGAACATTTTGCTGTGTCATCATTTATAATCCTGTTTACGCACTAATCCAAAGATAGCCTATATCATCCAGATTTTGTAATGATTCTGCAATTGATTGACAGCTTCAGTTTATGGATAATTGTTCCAAATTTCAAATCACTTCTAACTCTGATTATATTAAAATGTGGAAGAAGTGATCAGAATAGGCTCAGTATTTAATCTTGAAGGAGGCATGTGATGGTGCCAATAGTACTGCTCCTGCCTCCCTCGGGCGAGTGTTGTGGCACCAGCTGCCACCTCTGTGCTGGCAGATGAGTGCTAAGACCTGAGGATTTGCTCTGTGCATTTAAATTGACTTGTTATATCAAAATCAAAGGACAGGAAGCATTTTCAGGAATGGCCATCTTAGTTATGTACATTTACTTTTCATAGTACTTTTCTAGCAGCATACTTTTACTTCTACTTGAGTAATATTTATTTAACTTATCTTCCCACTGCGAGTAAGTCTACAAGTGGCAAAGGCTTTATGTTGACAATATTAAATGCTTTGAACGTTATCCTTTGGATATGATTTAGTTTTTTCACATTTGTGTTTATCCTTAGAAAATGCCTACTCTTACTTTAAGAGTACTTTTCATAAATACTTTACTTTCAATTTCTTGGACCACTACTTTGTACATGTATTTATAATAGTAATATTTTAAATATTAGTAATATTGTACAATATAATACAATTTCTGGCTACTGTATCCACCCCTGTTTAATTTTTTATTAGATATTTCTTGTCACAAAAGGCTTCTGGCTCCATCCAATTATAGCTGTAGCTTTTTGACAACAACAAAAATTCAAATTGGATTTCGGTACCAGTCATATTGGTAGGATAGGATATGTAAAAATGGTAGTTATTATGGTTATTAGTAGGCTAGTAATAGCCTATTAGTAGTCTAAGAGTAGCAGACGTAGGCTTGGTGCTATTAGCTTAGTAGCCTAGTCTTACATTTTTTTTTTTTATAAGGGTTATATATTTGAGACAGACAGGCCTGTAAAATCAGGCCTAATAGTCTGAAGTAAGTAAAAAGTTGTAAAGCCACACAGACCACAATGGCCTGCATTAGAACCAGTTTTTGCTGGTCCACCATGGGATCTAAATAAAAGTACATGCATGTGCCTGGAAATAATTTCTTGCTGCTGATAGGTTGTTGGGCGAGACTGCGCGTGGATTGGCCTGCTGCTCTTTTCCCTCCAGTTTCTCATTGGCCTTTTGTAATGATAGTCCTCTACCATCATTTGTCGTGCCGTTTTCAATGAATATTGTATGTGCTCTTGGGCTGAGGAGCTGCTCATTTGAATGAGCGGCTCTAGTGGAGCGAGCTCCGTCAACGAAGCTGCGGATGATGGAATTTCTGCTGCACGCTGCAGCTGCAGGTACGGCTCTGTCTCTCTACGAAATTAGTTAAAACACGCGACAACCGCCCGATACAACGAGATGTTTTGCACGAAGCTCAAAGAGCTGCAAATATCTGGAGATTGTCCATTCTCCAGCGGCGCCAAAAATAACGAGCTGAGAGACTTGGAGGAGCGCTCCACGGATGCCGCGGACGTGCAGCCCATCTCTAAAGATGTGCACGGGATGAAAGGTGAAGATGTGAAGCACCAGAGGAGCGCCAGAGCCAAAGTTAACCTTCATACACTTGGGGATAGTGTCCGCAAATTAGCGTGCCCCGAGGTGAGTCTAAAATAAGAGCCATATGTTATTCACTTATGCAACTCTTGTATTTCACCTGGAAAAATGTGCGAGCATAAATCCCATTTGCATGGTTTCTGGTGACGTGTCGTCTGCAAAAACACACATTATGTCATCATAACTGTATATTTACAAACGAGACCGTGTAGCGTGCTCATAATATTTAATGACGCTGAAGTGCGACCAGACGGCGACCTCTAACTTCACTTTATCTCACAGTTTCAAAGGCTTCACGCTGCCCTCCTCAGACTGATGCGGCCGTCAGACCAGAGCGCGGATCCTGCTCAGAGGTAACGCGTTTTTAAACCCGCCACCTTCACGAAAACAGCTCCAGACGGTTAAATCTACCTCCTGCTTTTACACTGACTGTTTTGATTCACCTCCATTCCCCTGCTGGCACCGCTGAAATCCTGATACTATTAATGAAAGCAACAAAAAGGTGTTACACAGAGCAGCCTGGTGTATCTGCTAATCATTGACACATCCCCAGACAGACACACACATATTCTGATTCATTTCTGACAAAATCAACATTGGTATAAACTGTCTCTCTAGTTCAGTCTGCTGCTCTGGATCGTGCATCGAGGAGGTGGAACATTTGGTCGAGATGATGGACAATTATTCAGCCAAAACAGGTAAAGAAAAACATTGTAATAGTAAATATGTGGTTTCAATGTAGAACTAACAATCAAACATTTTCTATCAGCAATACCCCCAGAAGCCGTACAAGTAGCTCTTGGCCAGCAGCTCTTTGACATGTGTTACGAAGAAGATGGCCACATTCTGCGCGTGGTGGGGGGAGCTCTCCACGACTTCCTCAACAGCTTCAATGTCTTGCTGAAACAAAGCAGTTCAGACCGGGGAGAAGACTGTGCCAATGAGCCATCCGTTCTGTGCTTGGATAAGGACCCAGGCTTGCTCACGGTCTACTTTTTCAACCCCCGCCCAACCACGAAGCTGTTCTTTCCTGGTGTCATCAAAGCAGCAGCTAGTGTGCTCTACCAGACCACTGTAGATGTGCTCCAAGACGCCCCAAGCGCCAAAGACAGCATCCTCCAAGCGAGCCCTCAACCCAGTCTTCTCTATACTGTAGTAGTCAAAGATGCTAAAAGCCTGAGCCCTAGCCCACTACGCGCTACCTCAGCCGGGACCCTCCCTACCTCTCTGTTTTCAACCATCTTCCCCTTCCACCTCATCCTCGACCAGAACTTAGTGCTGATGCAGATTGGGCACGCTCTTCGAAAAAGACTGATCAGGAAGGATGGAGTGAACAAAAGAGCCGCCACTTTTCAAGAACACTTCCTCATTGTTTCCCCTCAGATTAAATGCTCCTTCCAAGGCATCCTCACCATGCTGAATACACAGTTTATCATTCGGATCAAGCATTCTAGTGCAGACAGTACAGGGAAGGTATGTGACCTATACACATTATAACACACGGTTATAATTAAGAAAGCAACGATCAAATACTGGTATTGGACAAAACTATTAAAAGATACTTCATCAAATATATATGAAAATAGGTTAACATTCTAAACCAACTAGAAATAACTCGAAATTGGAAAAAAATACTCCAAAAATATAGGCAGTAGGCAAATAAAAATACACAGGGGAATAAAGTAACAACAGATATCAGTGCCAATACAGAAACATTTGCTGGATATTGGTCAATAATGTCTGAACTTTTATTTGTACATAGTTCTTCTATAGTTACTTGGGAGATAAATGACAACTACATAACATATTTGGATCAGTTTTGTCTTATTTGTTTTAAGGATATACTAATGTTTTCAGTCTGCACTGGTATCGGTTGATATCCGGTATTGAAAGATATTTAAAGGTATAATATCAGAATAGGATCGATGCATCCGTAATTATATCGCCAATTGAAGTCTATATGTGGTCTATCATACTACACTAGAATAATTTCAGCAGAAAAACAAAACAAACAAACAAACAAACAAAAGAAAACAACCTTAGCCAGTCATTGCTAAAACAGGACAAAAGTAAAATTATACCATGAATAAACTTTTATGGTTAAATCAGGAATTAGTCAGCACAAAAACACAATATACATAGGCCTCAAATGAGCCATATTAACTACCATTTATAAACTACAAATAAACAGAATATTTACATACTCTGAAGAAACTCTAAGGCACAATTAGCGGCAATAAAATGATCATGATACAAATTAGTAAACACCATAGACTGCATAAAGAAGTGGACGTTGTGGAAAGCGTTCGACTCTGGTCAAATGAGGCTAGGAGTTACTGGAGCCGAATTTCATATTATTAATAATTAAAAAGTTTATTTACGGACCAAATAGCCAAATAAAAACACCAGATTCATGTAAAGCGGGTTAATACGAACATCTTAAGGCCAAAATGACGAGGCAGCTACAGAGAGAGGGGTGACAATTTTCAGCATAAAGTCAATTGGTGCCAGAGTCGATGGAGCCAGAAGCGCCCCCATGCTCACTTCCTATTTGAAATGTGGCAGCTTGTGGTTTAGCTATGTCCATTTATATATACACAGTCTATTTTACACATGCTACATCAATCCAGGAATAAACCTATTGTCCTACCGTATATTAAACAAACCAGAACTTGAGATGCAAAAATGATTCATTGTAGTCGCATTTGCTGTATTAAAACCATCAATTTCCTGTGAGTTATTAGAAGCCTTCTCATGAGCTCTTGCCCTGAAGCAGATATCAACACTCGACCCCCAGCGGAGATCACAAGCAAATGTCACACCATTTTATCCATCAAAGGCACACGGCCATGCCCATGCTGTTTATAGAAGACTCTGCACCAATTGGACGCACTCACTAGTAGCGTAAATATGACAACGATGTAGTGACTAATAAGATTTAGGATAACAGCATCTTTTGCCTTTAAAGGCGATTGACGCGGCGAGAGTCTGGCCCTTTGTGCATTCTTCTTTGTGTTTAGGGATAGTTATAAATATGGGCAGCTTTATAGGCATTTAATGAGCTGGCTGGCAAGTGGCAAAAGTAAAAACATGAGTGAAATGTTAACAGATATGGAAAGCTTACATCTGATTGGCTGGTGCTATATTTGAACTTTATTAGAATAACAGGATGACAGTTCTTAGTATTTTTGGCCTCCAGCTGCAATTGTTTATATAGATTTTTACACACTGTTTTGGCCTGTTGTGATTAACTGAAATGAGGGGCATGGAAATGTCCTGGTAGTTTTCAGCCTTTGTAGTGTGCTTGGATGAATAGGGCAGAATAATGGGCTTTTAGAAGAAGACTAAACTTGTTTCTTAATACATAATCATAATACATCAAACTTACTTAGAGCTTTTTTGGACACGCAAAGACACTTTCCAAACAAAATTTGGAAAGTGTCTTTGAGTCTCTACCAGTCAAAAGTTTAGACACACTTTTTTGTTTATGTTTCGTCTTTATTTCCATACTTATTTACATTCACTCTCTCACTATACTTTGAGGATTTGAATATAAAACAAACAGTATTTAGTTAGAGTTACTGAACTGGTTTTACTTTGTAATGTTAGTCTATATATCTTGGATCATGTATTTAATGTCTTCTGTGCTTATATAAAATGTAGAAAATGGTAAACTTAAAGAAAAAAAACACTGAAAAAGTAGGTGCTGTCCAAACTTTTGGCTGATAGTGTAAATATAATTGTATGTATGAATTGTATGAAAATTAGACTTAAGCTTAGACTTAGACAAGCTTTATTGATCCACAAGGGAAATTATTTGGACACAGTAGCTAACACATCACAACATAATAACAAAGAGATAAAATATAAATGGTAATAAATTCAAAATATGTCAAATAAGGCATAATATCAACATAAAAATGTCTCTTACTGCTCTTTGACTTCATCAAATTTTAGAACAATCACTTATAACGTTAAAAGCCAATATCATATTTTCAATAATTCATGTTTGTGATTGTTGCGTTTTCAGCAAATGGATCTCAAGGGTCAGATGATCTATGTATCCGAGTCTAACGTCATTCTGTTCCTGGGATCTCCGTGTGTGGACAAGCTGGAGGACCTGACTGGCCGTGGGCTGTATCTCTCTGACATCCCCATCCACAATGCCCTTCGCGATGTGGTACTGGTGGGAGAGCAAGCCAAGGCTCAAGACGGTCTGAAGAAGAGACTGGGAAAGGCCAAGGCAGCTCTGGAGCACGCTCACCAGGCTCTGGAGGAGGAGAAGAAGAAGACAGTGGATCTCTTGTTTTCCATCTTTCCTCGTACAGTGGCGCAGCAGCTGTGGCAGGGTCAGACCGTCCAGGCGAAAAAGTTTGACAGAGTGACCATGCTGTTTTCCGATATAGTTGGCTTCACAGCTGTCTGCTCCATCTGCACGCCAATGCAAGTGATCACCATGTTGAACGAGCTCTACACCAGGTTTGACCATCATTGTGGAGAGCTGGATGTTTACAAGGTATGTCAACAAATGGAGGTAACTATAGGTCTGTCACAAGAGCAAATTTACACTACAGTACAATATATTGCTACAGAGACGTATTGTGATAAACGATAATACTGGAACAACTTTTTGCCACTGATTCAACAAAAATAAAGCAAGATAATACCAATTAACCATTCTTCAGACAACAAATAAACAAATAAATAGCATAATTAAGCGATAATTAACCAGAGAATCTTATCATACTACAACAAAAATAACAGAAAAAAAAAACACTACAAAAATTGAGCCTCAAAATATATTGTCCCAGCTTTCATACAGTATATTGAATGATATATTGAATGTCGAAATACTAATTATCATGACAGGCCAAGGTAACTATATTGGCAATAAGGTGACAGTTTAATATCCATACTATATAAGATAATGTGAAGTGGTCAGGGATGCACTATATAGACCACTATACTATAAATTTCACAGCAGCCAACATAAAGAATCTGCTGTAATAAATAAATAAATGTGGTTTAATGATTAACTACAATTCAAAGTACAATGTACATTTTTATCTTCCTTTTTTAACTTCCTGCAGATATGAAAAGTTAAGGTATTTTGTATGTTAATCTAGGCTACATGTTGGCAGAGTGGTTAGACTTCCTGTTTTTCTCTACCATGGGCTTTTATTGATTTTTTGTTTGTTTGTTTTAAGACACCACATAGTGACAAAAGCAACAAAAAAACAGAAGTAAATAAGTACAGATAGAAATGCATTTGTGTAAACATATATATGATCAATAGGGCTGTCAGTAAATTGATACTCACATGACCATTGATACTAAAATCAGAATAAAAAAATAGACTTAGATAAACTTTATTGATCTACAAGGGAAATTATTTGGACACAGTAGCACACACTTTAGCATAACAATATAATATAATTAATAACAAACAAAAAAAAGTCACAGAAAATGTCAAATAAGGTATAATTGTAGAAATGTATATAGTAAAAAATTAATCCAAATCCAAAGCCACTGTATTTATATAGCACATTTTACAACCAAAGCAGTTTCCAAAGGGATCATAAGTGATCAAAAAATGAAGACAACAAAAAGGTAAATTGCTAAAATTTTATTATACCAGTCCTAAAACAATAAAACCAGTTAAATCAAATAAATATCGTATAAAATAGAAATATTGTAATAAAAAATATAGACTTCCTGTTTGTAAGCATGAACATTGTCTCTTTAGCTTGACCTATTTAGTCGATGTAACAGAGTTTACTATAGTGTCTCTGCAGTGTTCTCTTAAAATGGGCATGTGTGGATTGATGAATGTTAAACTGCTCTGTGAATGTTAGTGTTTGGGGCAATGAGGGTCTGTCAATGTATGTGTCTGTGTTCGACATGTGACTGACTGGCCATTGTCCAGGCTGCACCCGCTCCAGGCCTTTATTGGCTTGGACGGGCACCCACACGGCAAATCCACTCTGGGAATGAGCAGAAGAGGATCAGTAAATCAAAATTGTATAAATATTTTAATTATTTATTGTTTATTTGAATAAGGACACACAAACATACACACAAACATAGACAAACAATTCAGTAATTTGTAACAACATAGTAACACCATATTTTAAACTGTTTACTAAAAAGTAGTGGTAGTAGTAGTGATTATTGGTTGATTTATGTAACTGCTTCTTTGTTTTATTTCTTTTTTGTTTAAGTAGTTGTCCTATATTACACAAAATTGACTCTTGTAGGGTTTTAGCCATGTTAGAAAGTCGTTATATCCTCAAAAACATACCTGGAGTTGCGTTTTCTTTCATTCACACATGTTTGAGTAATCTTGGTTTATCAGTCTGTCTACATCTCCAAAGCTCAAAATGCTCTGTTGCATTTTGCTAAAAAGTATCTGTTAACTTGAAGTATATTAACTTGAAGTGGTAATTTTCAAGTTAACAGATACTTTTTACCTTTTTCAGTGCTGAAATCATTAGGGGTGTAAGAAAAAATTGATTCAGTGATATATCGTGATACTTCATTGCACAATTCTCGAGACGATTCAAAATGCATCTGAATTCATTTTTGAGACAGTGTCTTTCACTAACATTCATTAGTTACATTCACTGTTTTCATGATTTGAAAAAATGTAATGGTGTAGTTGACTATATTATTAGAAGTAATTATTGATAAATTGCAATATATCATCCAATGTTTTAGTATCGGGATATATCGTGATATATTAAATCGTGACATGGATATTAAGGTATGTATCGTATCGTCAGACTCAAGGCAGTGCACACCCCTAGAAATCATCCAAATGAATCTGGAAGTGGAGTGTTTTCTGTCTCAGTCTAAATATACAGGGGTTTGTGTGTTAAACATGTGTGAATGAAACAAAACACAACTCCAGGAATATTTTCGACAAGGAAACAACTTCATAACACAGATCAATAAAAAGCGTAATATGGGCCCTTTAATGAGCTCTTTTGAAACCCTGTCACTAAGTCCAACAGTAGCAAAAGACATTTTATCTATTCTCCAAATACCTTCACTAAAATGATACATGCATTGTATTTCAAGTACCACACTCGGAAGAAGAATAGCTGGTGCTACTAACTGTCGCGGTGTCAGTTGAAGATTGCTGTTCCACAGGGAAGTCGGATAATGTAATCAAAGTGTCACCGAACCATAACAGAGACTGCAGCCCGTTTGACAAATATCTCGTAAAACGCTAGGAAGTCAGGGGTTCCTTCAGGACCCTGTTTCTCCTCCACATGTATGGCTCTAAAAATAGGAATCACTTAGCCCATACCTAGTGCTGGAGTGTACTCTGGCATGGGTTTACAGAAAGCAGCACAAAAGAAACAGCTTTTAAGATTTTGTCTGATAAAGCTCAGATATAAAGACCATCTGTCTGTCTCAGGGGACAATAACGCAAGATTTCTCTTTTTTTGTTATGTTTTTTATAATTGGATAATAATATGTTTATTTTGGTATTGGATGTTAAATGATAAACTACATTATGTTCCAACAATAATGAACAGATACATAAAGGCATTTTTTAATAAATATAATAATTCCAAAAAAGAGATAATTGATTCAAGCAACAGATGTTTGATTTTTTTCATTTAAAGTCACATAGAATTGTCATGATAACTTATTTTGAAGCATAATCTTTTGCCACAGAGAAACATAATATAGAAAGTACTTAAAGCCACTCACACAAAGCAAGATAACTCCACTAAAACAGATTTTAAATATATTGTATCATTAAAAGGCCTAAGCTGCAATAAATAAATAGCAGAATTAACCAATAATTAGGCATAGAAGTTATTTATTCAACCAGCTACAGCTCAAATCTTACCTTATTAATTAAAAATGCCAAAAAATATCCCCACTATTGAAAAGAAAATGTGTACACAATAAATATTGTGCCCCAAAATATATTGTTCCAGCGTTCATGTATTGAACGAGAAGTTGAGGAATTATCGTGACAGGCCTATCCTTACATTAAAGGTGCATTGTGTAACTTTTCTGGTAGGGGCTTTGTCTAATGCTTTTCTCCATGGAGATGTTTTTGCTTTGGAAAGTTTCACAGTATGATATCTTCATGGAAACCAAACCAGACCAAGTTACAGGGCTGATCTGTGGAGAGGTCAGTCAGAATGTCTGCTTTTCTTGGTATTTTTGAGCAATAAAACCATTGGTAATTGAATAAATGTGAGGCAGAACTGTTTAATGGTGACAGGTAACAAACCCCCAACCAAAAAGTTACACAGTGCCAGGATAACAGCAAACATTTATTGAGGGAACATATGATTATTGCATTTTTTTGACCATCATACCCAAATCTTTTTTCTGTTCTCAGGTGGAGACCATTGGAGATGCTTACTGTGTAGCCGGGGGCTTACATAAAGAGAGTGAAACACACGCCGTGCAGATCGCTCTTATGGCTCTGAAGATGATGGAGCTGTCAGATGAGGTCATGACCCCAACTGGGGAAGCAATACAGGTAACAGAAAACTGGATTATTTATTACAAAATATGTCTTTTTGTATTCAGTTTGAGGCTGAACAGCACATAACTCTGCTTCTTGTTTGTAGTGTAAGTAAGAAAGAAACATTTATGTTTAGAGCACCTTTCACAGAAATCAGCTCAGTTTTACAGATTAAAAATATTCATACTAATAAAAATAACATGCAGAAACACACAATACAAAATAAATACATCTATAGATCTATATATATATATATATATAGGTGAGTCTTTAAATTTGTTTTAAATGACTGAGGAGATTTTACTGTTTTAAGATCAAGGGACAGTGTCTTGAATATCCATTTGGTTTTATCTCAGATCCCCTTCCTAAATAAATCATACCTGAGAATGCACATTTTATTTGTGTGGAGCTACAACACAATATTTACAGGTGTACTTGATGTAACTTTGGGTTTTTGCCTATTAGTGCAAGTGTCTGGAAGTTACAAACAAAGCTAATATTTTGTTTCATTTTGTTGCATCGTCTAAGTTAAATAAACCAAACTTAGATGCTTATTTTGTGCTTATATTTGTATGTTTCCAGATGCGAATAGGCCTTCACAGTGGTTCAGTCTTGGCTGGAGTTGTGGGGGTTATGATGCCACGTTACTGCCTTTTTGGAAACAATGTCACACTGGCGAACAAGTTTGAGTCATGTAGTCAACCGAGAAAAATCAACATAAGCCCTACAACTTACAAGTGAGTTTATGACACATGAATCAGATGTTTTAATGAGCAAAGGCTAAGGTTAAGTACCTCTCTGAAAAGAATCTGGTAATATGATACACTGCAGTTAAATGCGTTTTAAAATGTCTGCGTAATCCCTCAGCCGTCCAGGTATGATGCAAAGCAGAAGAAAAATGCAGTTCTGTCAACAAACGTTTTGCAGTGAAGAGGCTTTTTTTTAAAATTTATTTATTTTATTTTATTTTTTTTATTGTTTCTTAAAGTGGCCTTAAAGTGGCCAAGGCTGTACAAAATTATGGAAAAAATACAGATCATTGTACATGTATTCTTTATTCTTAATTCTTAGTCTATTATTCTGTTTCACATATCCATAATATAACTCACTTACTCATTATAGTATTTTATTTTAATCTATCTTCTTGTCCCCATTTTATTCTTTTAATCATGCATCATTCTTATATCTTTCCTTCTTTTTTTTAATCATTTTTATTTAGCAATTTTATATTATTAGAAGTAAAACTACATCCAGTTGACAGAATCAGTTTTTTTTTTTATTATGTGTTTATAAGAAACCCTGTTTATTTATCCTGGCTTGAGACCAGTTTATGTAACCCATCTAAAAGTAGTACAAACAATGGCAAAAAGCTATACACTTGTAAGACTGTCCAAAAAATACAATAAAAAAATACAAATCTAAAGCTTTGGAAACACTGAAGCTTTGTTGTATCTCAAAATCTGCGTGAAATATGTTTACTTTTTAAGCTTTAAGTTAATTTTTAAACAAGTACTTTAATACTTATACTTAATTTGATTTTTTCATGTGATACTTTTACTTGAGTTTTTCTTTGCTCTTGTATGTGTATTTTTACTTAAGTAACATAATTGAGTACTTCATCCACTACTGTCAGCAAAATATTTTTTAGAATCAGTATATGGAGATTTGACCTCCGTAGGCTTATAGTTGTGAAGCCAACCCATTTTACTTCACAGAAAAATCTAAGTTTAAAAATATTTAGTGTACATTGGTTTTGAAATTAGCTGTGTGCTGTGGGAAACCCTCTTTATTTATCCGGGCTTGGGACCAGTTTATCTCTAACACATATGACTGATGAATGATGAACTTTACATATATTTTCTATGTTGCTATGTGTAGCTACTGTCAAACTTTGAATTTCTTTTGCAATTAATAAAGAATCTATCTTTTATGTAATTCATTTTAGTTGAAACAGTGCACCGAATCTATCTCTATCCATCTATCTGACAGTAGTACAAACTATGACTGAAGACGATATACACTGAACACTGCTCTCGAGATTTGTAATTAGCTTTTAGATTAATGCTGTTGACACCCCCAGTCTCCGGGACAGGAAACTCACAGCCTTTCACAGACGCCCTGTACTTCCTCTGGTGTCACATCATTTGCTCATTTGTTTTCAGATTCATGTTTTATTTGTGTGCTCTTTGTCCCAGTTTGCTGAAGGATCGCCCCGAGTTTGTCTTCATTCCCAGGACCAGACAGGAGCTTCCGGTCAACTTCCCACATGACATCCCTGGTGTGTGTTACTTTTTGGAGTCTTCTTCGAAAACGTCCAATCTGCCTCTCACATAAAGTCGAAGTCCAGCGCCATTTTCCAAGACTGTAACAACAAACAAAACAAAACAAACCAACGTCGTGTTTTGTGCAAGCAGTGCAAATTTTACAGTTAGGTTTGTCTAGATCTTGGTGATATTGTGTTATAAACCAGTTTGTGCAAATGCATTAATTAGAATCATTTTCTTGTCTGGTATTGTGTTCCAAACTACATCTGTGCAATGGTAGTAGAGAGACGTATTTATGCTGTTTTTTTCCACCGGGTTATCCTCCTTACATATGTTTGAGACTGTTGTCTGCATCCACTGACATTTACAAGTGAGAAAAGTTTCTGTTGCCAAGTTTGAAGCAATTCAGTTACTATTGTCTGTGTTTTTAGGATGACTTCTTGACTCAAATCTCCATGAAGTTAATGTGATGAAGAACTGTTATTCAATATTTGGATGTTTCTATATATATATATATATATGTCTATTTTTATGAACTTTATTTTCTGTAAATAACTAATCCTGCACCTTGACCTGGTAATATATAGCACATTGACAAAGCACATATTCAGCTAACCTTTGAAGTGAGGATTTGAGATTTTAGGTGCCTTATAGAAAGTTCAAAAGCATACATTTGTTTTTAGACGTTATATAATATATTTGGCTATTTATCTTGTTTTAAAATTATTTGTAGCTTACACATGCTTAATCACACTATTGTTTTTGGATAGTATGTGGTTCCTTATTTATAAAAGGACAGTAGCTAATTTATTTCACTTACTTACAATAAGTTACTTATTTTTCATTTAAATATTAGATCTAATAAGACGCCATTTCTCATTATGAAACTATGAGCGCTTTAACCCTGTAAGACAGATTTTATTTAATACCTATTATGTATTTTCATCAATAACCCTATGGTATGAAAAAGGAAATTAAAGTTTAATATTATTGCAACATGTGTTTGTCTTTCATATTTGTGTGTAAACATAAAGGGGGGTTATTATAGGCTGTAAACTCGCATGGGCAATATAATAATTTAAGTGCATGGTATCCAGTGTGGTCTGTGTACAGCTCCCATGCAGAATCCAGCCAGCATCATCTGCATGGAGACTTTCTGATTGGCTAATGGAGGTTTACGTAAGACGTGCTTTGAGGTCCCATTGGGCAGACGCATTGTCAGTTTTGTGCGTCGAGCGCTGCACGCACAGGCTCCAAGCATCAGTGCAAATGGTGCAAACGATGAAGGTTATGTTGCATACAGCGGATTTTGCTTAAAATAAGGTAAAGAAGGTCCAGCGGCCACCATGGTAAGTGCAATCTTTTATGTGTTTCCATATAAAGCAGGATTAGAGAGTTAGAGCTTTGATTTGCGTGTATCCAGCGCAATATTGTCCTCGGTTTTCTGTATGCTACTGTAGCTGCGTACTAACAGGTGAATAATTACACAGGGGGGTTTAATATTTGCACATACAGAGTTAGACGGGCAGAGCTTCCGAAAAATATACGATTTGCACGATTGAGCCTGTGCCTTCAGCCTTACAGTGTACCAAGAGACCCACTGAAATGAAAATGCATGTTCATGTATCCACAGTATGGCTTCGTGAATCACGCCTTGGAACTCCTCGTTTTGAGGAATTATGGCCCGGAAGTTTGGGAAGACATCAAGTGAGTGAATGTGGATTTTCTGTATGTTATCAGCTGTGGGCCCTGTACAAACAGCACAGCACCACTTTACATAAACTCACACATGGGCCTGGTGTGAGAGAGAGACAGTAATAATTAACCACAAACCAACGCATTCATTTGACTCTGACTTTGAATATGGACTATAGACTGTGTGGTATGGGCTTTAGTGATTTAAAGGTGCACTGTGTAACTTTTTAGGGTCCAGAACCTGTTTGTCTCCATGGAGATGTTAATGCTTTGGTTTAATTTGTCCCTAGTGTTGCATTAAACTAATCTATCTTGCATTTATTCAACTACAGGATTTATTTATTGCTCAAAAATATCTTAAAAAACATAAATTCTTACTGTGAGTGGGGTCGCCTTTCCACAAATCTAACCTGTAATTTGGCTCCAGGGAGATTCTTAAGTTTATGGGCGTACTGTGGAACATTCTAGGCACATCTCCATGGAGACAAGCAAATGATGAACCCTAAACCAGACAAAGTCATACAGTTCACCTTTAAAGTGACATGAAAAAATATTTGAAAACACAATTATCTGAGTGGATGATAATAATAAATCCTCTTTCCTCTTAAAAAGTTTTGTTTAAATGGTTCTTCTTCTCCTCTCAGTATTACTAATGACTGTTTGGTATGTGTGTGTGTGTCTGTGTGTGCGCGTGTGTGTTTGTAGTGTACAGTATTTTTGTCTGTGGTTTGCCCTGGACTTGACCCCACTACTAAAAGAGAAGGAAGAGAACCAGCTGCATCGTGTTAATGTTTAAGGGGATCCAAAAGCCCAGCCACACTGTACATCTGCTCATGTTTTTTCTGCAAATTAATCCCATTATTGTTACACTCAATTTATCAACTTTGACCATTTTGCAATTCTGATTGATTACTTTGTTCAATATGTCCAGTTCGTTCCTGTTCGTTTGTACAATAGCCAAAGCCTGGTAGGTTTTTTCAGCTGTGGTAAATATGGTTTTAAAGGTGCAGTGTGTAACTTGTTTGGTAGGGTCCATCACCTGTTTGTCTCATGGAGATGTGCCTAGAATGTTCCACAGTATGCCCATAAGCTTATGAATCTCCATGGAGACTTGCAAGCCATCTTACAGGTTAGATTTGTGGAGAGGCGACCCCACTCACAGTAAGAATGAATGCTTTTAATGATATTTTTGAGCAAGAAATAACTCCTGTAACTGAGTAAATGCAAAACAGATGAGTTTAATACCTTACTGTGGACAAATTAAACCAAAGCGTTCACATCTCCATGGAGACAAACAGGTTACGGACCCTCTCTAGAAAAGTTTCACAGTGCATCTTTAAGAATCAGTCACAATTCATTTCCTCTTTTGATCGATCAGTATTTTTTTTTTATTCTAAACAAATGAAAATAACTTTTAATACAGATTTTCTGAATTTAAATAATAATTTTAATATTTAAAGTTCTTCCTCCAAAGTCTGAACTCTGCTCCAAACACATGCTTTTACTGACTGGACAGGACTGGCTGGAGATTTCCTGATTATAAAGAGCTGATCATTGACCATCTCAATTAAAATTCAGTCAACTGCACAGCCTTATTGATAAATCCTTTTCCGGTTTTCTTCTTATACAGACGTAATCAATGTTTAATTAAAGCATAAATTGACTATCTTAATTGGGTTGACTATTTCTGGTTACACTACATTTAGATAATGAACCTCTATGTCTGGACGTCAGGGCAGCAGAGACACTTTCAAATCCCTGCAGCTCTGTTATAGCAATATTGCATTGTGAATAGTGTATGAATGCGCTGTTTTATATTGATATTGGGACGAGTTTTACTTGAATGACTGGATGAATGATTGCATTAATATTCATTGTATTTTATTGGCATGTACACCATTTATGACATCAACCTGTCCAGGGACCAAAGGTGGAAATCAGCTTTTGCTATAACCAGACTAGAGTGCACCGATGAATACTGGTATCAGCATAGATCAAGGAAAATTAGCTGGATTGGGTATTGTTTCTATCATATTGGAATGATATATTACTCAATACTCTAGTCAGGCCTTTAATTGGATGTAATAACTGGCAAATTTATTGGCAAATGTTGGCACAGAATGTTACATAAGGTTTGAACTTTTATTTATACAAAGCTGTTCTACATTGACACGCACTGTAAAACACAATTGGATCAGTGTTTTAGTGAGATATCTGTCTCTTGGTGGAAATAAAATGCCTTCTCAGTCCCTACACTAGTATCTGTTAATATTGGGTAACTGCAGATACTGAAAGCCAAAGTATCGATATCAGTATCAGAACTGAAAAAAGCTGGAGCGATGCATCCCTAAACCTGGCACAGATATATTACCTCATTGTGTAGGTCAATATTTCTATGTGCATTGTCCTTGATAAATAAACAAATGAACTAAACTAAACTAGTATTAAAAAAATATATGTTATTTGTGCTGTTGTCAATAACATTTAACAGTGTGGGGTGAATGAATAATACTCTGTGAAGCGTCTTTGAGTGTCCAGAAAATCGCTCTATAAAACTGATGCATTATTATTTAATATTATTAACATTTAGTTGTATTTGCTTTCAGACGTGAGGCCCAGCTCGATATTGAGGGACAGTTCCTCGTTAGAATAATTTATGAGGATGCCAAAACCTATGACCTTGTGGCGGCTGCAAGTAAAGTTTTAAGTAAGTCACTAATTTCTCTTTTATTTATTGTACTTTTCATATTTAAAGGGCTTATATTTCGCTATTTTCTGATCTATGTTATAATGTTTCCTCATCAAAAACATGCCTCGAGTTGTGTTTTGTTTCATCGACACATGTTTAACACAGAATCTCTGCATTTACATTCTAACATGGTTTAAAGTTCACAAGAGTAAATTTTGTAAAATATAATGTTGTTTTCAGAGATTGACGCCGGAGACATTTTGCAACTCTTCGGCAAAATGTTCTTTGAGTTTTGCCAAGAATCTGGCTATGACACTATCCTGCGAGTGTTAGGATCCAATGTTCGTGAATTCCTGCAGGTATCCATTCTGTGATTGATTTTTAACACTGAACAAAAATAAAGATGGTTCACGGAGATGTTTATGTGAGGTAATATATTTGTTTTTAGAACCTGGATGCGCTACATGACCATCTCGGCACCATTTATCCTGGAATGAGGGCCCCTTCATTCCGCTGCACTGATGCGGAGAAAGGAAACAACCTGATTCTTCACTATTACTCGGAGAGGGAGGGCCTGCAGGACATAGTGATCGGCATCATCAAAACTGTGGCTCAACAGATCCATGGCACAGAGATAGAGATGAAGGTTGGTGCTACTGTTTTCACTCAAATTACACATTTTCTTCAACTGGCTGGCGCCTTTTTTCACAGTAAGGCAGACAGGGTACAGACAAAAACGGCTGAGGGTGCATTCGTGTTTCAAAGCAGTGCAAACATAATATGCTTCCATTAAAGGTGCACTGTGTAACATTTCTAGTTGAGGGTTTGCCACCTACTTGTCTCAATGGAAATGTTATTGCTTTGTCTAGAATGTTCCACAGGATAGATTTAACCTATTACAAAGGAGACAAGCAGGTTACAGCACTACGCTACATTACAATTCAGATCTGTGGAGAGTCAGCCCTATTCACAGAAGGAATTCATGTATTTTTGAGCAATACAAATGCCCGTAATTAATAAATGTTTAATTTCATACCATGGACATTCCAGGGAAAGCAATAACATCTCAGTCCGTGTATCATTTGTTCATAAATTTTTCAAAATAAAACCAAAAATAAGAAAACAAAAAAAACAACAACAATTTTCTTCATTATTGGTCTCCAAAATCAAAACGAAAAAACGGATAACGATTAGTTTTTTCAGTTTTCGGACTTTTGCTCCACATACAAACTGAACCAGGACTGAACCAGGACTAAAAGAGGTCTAAACCAGGTCTAAACCAGGTCTAAACCAGTACTGAGTGTCGGGACGAGCGGAGGTGTGCCTGCGTAGACTGTCAGGTGATCAGGACTCAGGCCGGGACTAGACCAGGACTGAGATCAGGAGCAGACCGGGACTGAGACCGGGACAGAGACTGGGACTGGGATCGGGACCAGACCAGAACCAGACCATGACTAAGACCAGGGCTTTACATTACATTACCTCCCCCCACAGTGTAACTGCTGCAGTGAACCTTGCCATTTTGGTTTTAAAATTTTCATATTGACCAGATTTACACGATCCTGGTATTTTATATTTTGCTGTTTTGTCTGTAACTATATTCCTTTTCCTAAAATTTAACTCAGCTCCAAATTCCTATAAGTGCTAGCCTTGTGAGCTTCATTTGACTGGAGCTGAATGCTGTGAATGTCACACTTACTTACTCAACTTTGTTATAAAGTCAGTGGTGCATATATTCCCTGTAGACCTGGGCCTGCAGTGACGGCTTCATTGGTGTCATGGTTGTAGAGGCTTTGTGTAGGTTTCAGAAAATTATTAAAAGTGGTACAATGTAAGGATTTCCTAAATGGGATCAGGGTTGTATATAGACTTTGGAATTTTGGTTTTTGGCTAAAGAATGTGAGTCAGACGATATTTTTAGATCTAAGAGTCTCAAGCTTGGAAGAATCTCTCAAGATCTATTCTAGTTTTATCTTCACTTGTCAAACATGAGCTGACTTTAAATTGACTGCTGACTATATTCCCGTGGGAAGTGATAAATTGCACTTGCACTTTGTAAATCCAATTTTATCTAAACTGACATAAATACTGGTTACAGCTGGTCTTAACAAACCATCTATCAGTCGTACTTCTGTCCAAGCCCTTGAATTACAGCTCGTAGCTCGTGCTCATTACAGTGACATGTAATCCTGCTCACATATTTACTCCACTATGGTTGAAGTAGTAAGCATTTCATTTCATAAGTGACATTTTCTCTCAAACCTAATCACACTGCGCAGACAGGATAATATTTTTCGTCTATTGTGTGTGTAATAAAAGAGCAGACACTGGTAGATGGTCCAAATGTGACACCCAATTTCTGGGAATATTAGCTACTGTTGCTGTGGCAACTGGGTGTAGAAAGAGCAGTTTGACGTCAGCATGCCTTATGCTCATAAGCCTACTGAATAATGTTATTATTCACTGTCTTAATTCCATAATACACTTGGGATCAATTCTATTAACAAGATGATTTAAAAATAATTAAACTGCTTAAAGGTCCTATATTATGCAAAGTGGACTCTCGTTATGCCATGTCATAATGCTCTTATCTCCTCAAAAACATACCTGTGTTTTATTTCATTCACACATGTTTGAGTAAAGCTGCTTTATTAGGCTCCTCAGAATGCTTTGTTACCCCTTGTGATCTCATCAAGTGATAGTTTTCAAGTTAACAGCTACTTTTTATGTTTGGTTCAGTAGAGACTGACAATTCCAAGGCTGAAAATTTCCAGTTGATTTTAGTAAAGGTGCGTGGTGTTGGCATGAGATCACAAAGTGGAACGGACTGTTTTTCTTTTAAGAGAAGAACTTAGCTAATAGCATAATACGAGCCCTTATTATGGAAAGTCCTCTAAGTTAGTTGCATAACCTATGTCCTCTAATTAATCATATTATTGTTGCACTGTCTTCCTATGACCTCTTGTATAAAGCTGTGGTTTTGTCTTTTATTACTTATCTTTGTATTTTATTTTGACTTGTACATTTAGATTTATATAATGATGTTTTATTTGACACCTGTCTCTTGCTATCTTTGTGCTCCTTATTTAGAATTGATTATTACCATTTGTATTTTTTCTTTGTTATTATGCTATATTGTGATGTGTGAGCTACTGTGTCCAAATCATTTCCCTTGTGGATCAATAAAGTTTGTCTAAGTCTAAGTTATCATCTGGAGGAGACATGACTTTTGACTGTCTGTTTTCTGTGGTTCAGATGATCCAGCCTAAAAGCGAGGAATGTGACCACATTAAGTTCCTGATCGAGGAGAAGGACTCGGAGGAGGAGGCGTTCTATGAAGATCTGGACGGGTTTGAGGAGAATGGGACACAGGAGACTCGCATCAGCCCCTACACCTTCTGCAAGGCCTTCCCCTTTCACCTCATGTTCGACAAAGATCTGATGCTCACGCAGTGTGGGAACGCAATTTACCGCGTCCTGCCTCAGGTCAGCAAATTTACATCCTGGAGATGCATGAGGAAAGTGAAGGGGATGGTGAGAGGATGAGGAGAGTGAAGAAGATGATGAGAGGATGAGGAGAGTGAAGTGGAAGATGATGAGAGGGTGAGGCGAGTGAAGGGGATAATGAGAGGATGAGGCGAGTGAAGGGGACGATGAAAGAATGAGGAGAATAAAGGGGACAATGAGAGGATGAAGAGAGTAAAGTGGATGATGAGGAGATGAGGAGTGAAGGGGATGATGAGAGGAAGAGGAGAGTGAAGCGGATGATGATGAGAGGATGAGGAGAGTGAAGTGGAAGATGATGAGAGGATGAGAAGAGTCACGTGGAAGATAATGAGAGGATGAGGCGAGTGAAGTGGAAGATGATGAGAGGATGAGGCGAGTGAAGGCGATGATGAGAGGATGAAGAGAGTGACGGGAACAGTGAGAGGATGAGGAGAGTGAAGGGGATGATGATGAGAGGATGAGGAGAGTGAAGAGGACGATGAGATGATGAGGAGACTGAAGGAGATGATGAGAGGATGAGGAGAGTGAAGGGGACGATGAGATGATGAGGAGACTGAAGGAGATGATGAGAGGATGAGGAGAGTGAAGAGGACGATGAGATGATGAGGAGATTGAAGGAGATGATGAGAGGATGAGGAGAGTGAAGGGGATGATGAAAGGAAGAGGAGATTGAAGGAGATGATGAGAGGATGAAGAGAGTAAAGTTAGTTCTTCCTGGCTTACACTCTATTAGAAAGACAGATGCAGATTGTCTGCTTGTATACACATTACAAAACTGGAGTTCTGCCATAGTACAAATTATTTGCTTATTATTTTTATCTCACAAAACATGATACTGGTCTAAACAAAGCTAAATCATTATTTTAAATTCCACAGCTTCAACCCGGGAGCTGTATCCTTCCCTCTGTGTTTTCTTTGGTTCGCCCTCACATTGACTTCAGCTATCACGGCATTCTTTCCCACATCAACACTGTCTTTGTCCTTAGAAGCAAGGTAAAGCACCATCTCTCTTTTTTCTTTACTTATTTTCTAAGCTTGTAATAACACTTATAAGCAGTGGTGGAATGTATGAAGTAAAAGTATTAAAATACTAGCCTGATCCATCAGCCGGTTTCACTTTGTAGAAACCGTCTGATCTCGCAGCGTTAGAATTCGTTTGCTTGACGGTAGGTGGGTACTTTTTTTAATTTAACCAATTGCTGCTATTTGGCTGTGATGTATGTAATGCGCCGCTAACGGGGCTAACTGGTATATTGAGCTTTTCCCAAATCCCGTACGAAGAAGGGCAATAACGTCTTTCCCTTTAATAAAATTCAACTTTAAATCCTCAATCTCTGGAATCGTTGCCAACACAAAATATATGGCTTTTCGCTGAACTTGGACTAGGTGGAGCCAGTCTGGCTAGTAAACTACTGTACTAAATAAAATAAAAAAAAATAGGTATTTGTACTTTACTTGAGTAGATTTTAAAGTGGATACATTTTACTTTTACTCCACTACATTTCTGAACAGGACTGAAAAAGTATTTTTTATTATTGTTTGAGACCTGCTGAAATGAGGGGTTTATGTTTTATCAAGTTCATAATTTGAGCAAACAAAAATACACAAAAAATAAAAACAGCTAACCTAGAAAAAAAAGATTGATTCAGTTGGTTCTATTCACAAATCTTGCACACATCTTTGTCAAAATCACTACATTTGAAGTGCTATTAGACCTCAAAATCTGCACAAAATACTTAATAATAAATACATTTTTAAACAGTTAATTTAATACTTTTACTCAAGTAGATTTTTACATGTGATACTTTTACCTGAGTATTTTTTTGCTCCAGTATCTGTACTTTTATTTAAGTGACAAAACTGAGCACTTCTTCCATTCCACCACTGCTTGCAAGTAAAAACCTGTCTGAACCCTCTGATGATTTTTGGCCTGATTTGGAGCGTCTCAAAGTAAAATATTCATGAGCGTGATGTAATGCCGACAGGAGGGCCTTCTGAATGTGGAGACCGTGGAGAATGAAGATGAGCTGACTGGCGTTGAGATCAGCTGTCTGCGATTGAAAGGACAGATGATTTACCTGCCCGAGGCCGAGAACATCCTTTTTCTTTGCTCTCCCAGGTAAACTGACCATACCCTGTGTCTGGAGCTCTGACACACTCAAATCAGAAGGCACTAAATACTACTCCGGCTAATCCACACATTTTGATTTAGAAAACTGGGTCACGAATTCAAAAACATTTCTCTGTCTGCAGCTTGTAATTAAATCGATGTCTAATCTTAGCTGGGGTCTGTCGTGTTGGTTGGTTGAATAGCAAATAGACATTATTTTATCTTGTATCTAATAAAAAAAGTAAAAATTCAATTGTTATAAAAAAAACAACAAACAAACCCTATATTACTTGTAACTCAGTGTTAGCTATTGATACTTGGCTGTGGCATAACGCTGGGGGTGTTCTACATCTATCTCTATGTTCAGTAGATGGGGTTGGGATGGTTGGTATAAATAACATTGTGAAAAGACAGCATAACATTGTCCATTCTTAACTTCCTTAATACGTAATCATAATCTGAGGGATTTGTGACAGTGCATTTTTTTCTTATGGTCATTTTCAAGCTCAGTTTAATATATTTTAGCTAATTAAATGACTCTATATTCCCCTCTTTACTGTTGGTGGGGATCAAAGTGGTCAAAATAGGGACATTTCTTTTATTAAACAGGGACAAATCAATAGCTTTGGATAAGTCTGCTGGGACAGAGAACACAGGGCTCAAAATTGGGACTCTCCTGGGTAAATAGGGACGTCTGGTCACCCTAATCCAGACATGGGCATCGTACAGCTCCCGGGCCACATACGGCCCTCTGGTTGACTCTGACTGACCCGTTTAAGCTCATTTGGAATTACAAAATAAACATATCTTATCATTTTACCTCATGCATGAACTAAAGCCACATTGCTTTTATTTTAGAGGTGTTTTTAATGACATTTTTGCAAGGCAACCTCACTTTTTCATTCCTTAGTCATAACATAAACTCTTACCAGTCTCAATGTTATTACTCAATGTTAGACAATGTTATTTTTTTTATAAAGAAATACAATTAATATTATGCAGCCCTCCACTAAATTTTCTGTTTCTCATGTGGCCCCAGTAGTAGTAATTGCCCACCCCTGCCCTAAGCAGTTACCATGGTGACAAAATACATTGCACATATCAGCAAACATTGTCAGTTTTAAGATAGTTTTAGTTGATAGTTTTAAAAGTTTTAAGATACAAAATGGATTTAAACAGCACATTTTCAGGAGCCTGTGACCAATACAAGCGTACAAGCGTTCATGGTCATGTTTCAGTCAGTCACTCTCACCACTTTTGTTGATAATCAAACACTGATTTCCAAAAGGTGAGAGTGACTAACGGAAAAACTGTTGGCTAATGGTAGCTAGTTTGTGACTGTAATTTGAAGTGTGAGAGACTTGTTTAACAGCACAAATCAGCTCATCTGTTGTAGTTCCAACTAAACCAGCTCTTTCTGGACAGATTGTGTTAAAGTAAAGCCCAGATTAAAGTCTAACAAGCCTCAGACAGAGCAGGGCTTACAGTCAGCATCACACCCCCAAAAATATCAATAGCAACAAATGATTAGAGCAGTTTTGATCCTCTCACAGTGAATGTAATTGGAACAGACTGCAATTGTGTTATATTTTTGGGTGTACATTAAATAAGCATTAACATATGTATACTTAGACAGTTCATTGTACTGCTTGATCTGATAAACTAGACTTTTTGAGAAGGTGAAAATCACAAACACCTCACTATGTTTTGTTCTTTTTTACACCTTTTAAGAGCAACAACAATTTCCTCCCACTTACACATATTTAGCATTTAGTTCGTCGTGCATGAGCTATAAAACTTTCCTGGTAGAGGTTCTGCCATCTGCTTGTCTCCAAGGAGATGCTTTGCTTGGGATGTTCCGCAGTATGGCCTTAAATATATCTATCCTAGGGTGACCAGATGTCCTCTTTTTCCTGGACATGTCCTCCTTTTAGGACCCAAAAAAACCTCTGGGAGGAATTTCTAAATTATGCCAAAATGTCCGGGATTTTGACTCTGCACACTACAAGGGATCAGTCTCACCCTCAGCAACAGTATCTCATAATAAATACAGGATAAATATAGAATAAACCATGGGTTCAGACGTCCTGATAAAGGCTAAAGTCTGTAGTGTTTGTCCTGCTCTGAATCACAGACTGAAGCCTCCTGTCTGTGTGAAGTGACAGGAGCAGGGCTCTGTCAGAGCAGGGACAAGGGACATAGACACTGTCAGGAAATTAACCCATGAAAAAATAAATATAGGCTACATTGGCTTGTATTATTGAGCTATGGCTTAGTAGACCTCTAAAATGCAATGATACACAGTAAATTGTCAAAAATTCCCCTGGTGAGGACCCCATACCCTTTGATACACATAATATCACACATTTGTAAATTAAATTCTAACCTCAACAGAAATCACTGGTTACAAAGTACAAATATCGCCAATTTTTTCATCCGAGAACCCAGTGTCCTCCTTTTTGATAACCCCAGTCTGGTCACCCTAATCTATCTAGCATTTCTTTCATTACACGCGTTTGTATGTTGGTGGTTCACTTGCTTGTTTTCATGGCGATAAATATGATTACTTTAATGCCCTACTGTGGAACTTTCCAGGAAAAGCAATAACAAATGCATGGAGACAAGCAGGTGACTGACCATCCACTGAAAAGTAATATAATGGACCCAGGGTTTCCCATTAATACAGGAGACCATGGTGGCTCTTCATAGTCTAAAATCCTCCTCCATATTCTGAAAACAACCTGGATTATATTGGATAACAAAATTAGACTAACTGTATTATCAATTTATAAAAGAGACTACACTGGTCAAAATACATGCTTAAACATTAAATATAGGCAGTAATTGACATATATATACTCAATAAATAAAATGAGAGAATAGATTCAAAATAATTATTGTCACCAGATTCTAAAAATCTTTGGGATGCTGTTTAATGTTTGTTATTTGTTCATATTTAGTGTCATGAACCTGGATGATTTGACGCGGAGGGGGCTTTACCTGAGTGACATCCCCCTCCACGATGCCACGCGTGACCTGGTGTTGTTGGGGGAGCAGTTTCGTGAGGAGTACAAACTGACCCAAGAGCTGGAGATTCTCACCGACCGCCTGCAGCACACTCTGAGAGCTCTGGAGGACGAGAAGAAGAAGACTGACAGGTCTCTACACTGTTTTTATCATAGACTGTATAAAGAAGTGGACTAAGTGAGTGTGACGTCACCCATAGTGTTCAGCTCTAGCCAGATGAAGCTCACTGAGGTTGGCAGTTATAGAGCAGAGTTTGCAGGTCCATATTTGGAATTTCAACAACAAATATCATAGGAACCAAAGAGCCAGTCCAGAGTGAGGCTGCTGAATGTAATGCCCCTTCCATCCCTTCCCTTCCCTTTTTTTTTAGCAGGGAGCGGGCACCTCTGGGAAAGAAGGCACCTGATTTGTAATTACTGTTCACAGGGTTCCGATGGTCATGTAAAAGTCATGGAAATTGAAAATGTCATTTTCCAGGCCTGTAAGAGTCATGGAATTTTGTAAATTCACGTTTGTTTGCGTTCTGTTAAGTTATCATTAGGCTATTATGATTATTTCCGAACATATGTGCCCTTTGTCTAAATAAATGCATTGTCAGTATTTTGAATGTTTAAAAAAAACTATAATACCAAACCATAAGGTGAGTGGAAAGGGTTCACATTTCATATTTAACCCTAAAAGAATGCTCAATTATACACATGTAGGGTGCTGCAAAGTCATGGAAAATTCTCTTTAGGTCATGAAAAAGTCATGGAAAAGTTTTGAAATTTTGTGAGTGAAAAAAATGGGAACCCTGTGTTCCCATTTTCCTGTGATCTTGATTTACAGACAATATAACAAAATAAAAATACCAGAATCATGTAGAGCGGGTTCATATGAAGATTTTAATACCAAAATGAGGTTCACAGCAGCAGTTGCAGAGAGAAGAGTGACAGTTTTTCAGTAGAAAGAGATCTGGAGTCGATGGAGCCGGAAGTGCATCCATGCTCACTTCCTATTTGGAACACAACTGTTAGCAGGTTAACATACATATACAGTCTATGTTTTTTATATAGATCATTACATACAAGCTGTAGATCATATAGTATCTTTAGCATAACAAATTTTCTTTCCTTTTTAACCAAGCTTGAGGCATTGCTTAAACTACACTACCTTATTAGGCAGTCTGGCAAAAAAAGAAAAAAAAAAGATTATCTGCAATCAATTCAATCACAATTCTTTTGCTCTTTGGCTTTCTGTTACTCCCATATCATTTAATATCTTTCATGAAATGTTTTGTTCTATTTTTGTAACTCTCTTGAAAATGATTGGGTGTTTTTATGTGTAATTATGACTTTCTCCAGTTCAGCAGCTTCTTTATAAATTGTGAGACATTGATGAATTTACAATGCTACAAAAACGATAATTTCAGCTATTATAGTATTTAGTCATGGATCCAAGATAGACTTATTTCCTTTTAAGATCAGAAATTAAGATCATCTATTATTGTGCTATCTGGATTATAGTCATTTGTTTTCATTTGGTTGATGTTTTTGGGCCCTTGTTACAATTGCGTTTAGAGACGATTTTGGTATTTGGCTCAGCAGGCAGGGACAGCTGGACACGGGCATTTGTGTGGAGTGTCTTTATTTGGAATTCTGCAGCTTCTCTCTTATGTCCCCATAGACGTGTACCATACAGGCCAGTATCTACAGTGTACGAGTATTATCACTATATTTGTGCCCAGGGAATGCCTCTGACCCATATGTTTAATAATAGATTGTAGGGGTCATATACTGTGCAAAAAATTAAAGGAACACTTTGAAGACACATTCGATTGCAATGTGAAAAAAATAATATGCTGGGTATCTATACAAATATGGACAGCAATGTGTTATGAACAAAAGGATGCCACCTCTTTTAATGGAAAAGAACAACAGGTACACTAGAGTGGCAACAATGAGACAACCCCTAAAACACGACTGGCTTTGCATGTGGAGGCAATTTCAAGTTTCTCCCTCTTGGTCTTTTTTGGCTGGTTTTCCACTAGTGCTGCTTTGGCTAGAGGGATCATCACTACTGGGAGTATGAAGCCCTTCCTTAGCCCTATAGAAGTTGCACAGATTGTCCAACTTCTCCAGGATGGCACATCCGAATGTGCTGTTGCAAGAAGATTTAATGTGTCTCCCAGCACAATTTCCAAAATAGTGAGGAGATTTCAGGAAACAGACAGTTACTCTCGGAGAGCTGGACAGGCCTCTAGAAAGTCCTCAACCCATCAGTAGCACCCTTATCTGCTCCTTTTTGCAGGTAGGAACAGGTTGAGCTGCCCGTGCCCTACAGAATGACATCCAACAGGCCACTGTTGTGAATGTCTGTGCTCAAACGATCAGAAACAGACTTCATGAGGGTGGCTTAAGGACACCACCTCCTGTAGTGGGCCCTGTGGTTACCACCCAGCAGCGTGGAGCTCCAGTGACATTTGCTAGACCACAACAGAATTGGCAAGTCCCCACTGGTGTCCTGTACATTACACAGATCAGAGCAGGTTCACCCTAAGCACCTGTGACAGACATGAAAGAGTCTGGAGAAGACAAGGAGAACTCTATGCTGCCTGCAACATGGTTCAGCATGAGCAGTTTGTTGGTGGGTCAGTGATGGTATGGGGAGGCATATCCATGGAGGGACACATAGACCTCTACCGGCTAGAAACCAGCAGTCTGACTGCCTTTAGGTATCAGGATGAAATCTGTGAACCCACTGTCAGACTCTTCAACGATGAAGTATATCCTGAGTTCCTCCTGATGCATGACAATGCCCAACCTCATGTGGCAAGAGTCTGCAGGCAGAACCTGGAGGATGAAGGGATTGAAACAATTGAATAACCCTCACTATCGCCTGACTTAAAACCGATTGAACACCTTCCATCAGACCATTGATCAGACGCCGCCAGGTTGATCCTCAGACTACAGGAGCTCAGTGATGCCCTTATACAGATTTGGGAGGACATCTCACAGGACACCATCCATCACCTCATTCGGATCATGCCACAGCTTTGTCAAACATGAGTTTGACTTCTGGCAAAATGGACTAGCCTGCCACATCATTATTTTACTTTGATTTTCAGGGCGCCTAAAGCTAAGCCCTCTGTAGGCTGAAAATTGTATTTCCATTAAAAGAGGTGGCATCCTTTACATTGCCCTGTCCGTATTTGTATAGATATCTAGCATTTTTTTACATTGAGATCTGAACTGTTCCTTTAATTTTTTTATATATAGCCTATGTATATTATAAAGATATTATTATTATATACTTTGCAGTGACATTATGCTGGAGGTAATCAGCTACCATGGTGACACAATGCACACATTAGCAAAAACTACCCAGAAAGTCTTAAGGTAGTCTAAAAAATATGAGCTTTCATGGTCCTGTTTAAGTGTTAAATACTTGTTTGTTGATGAACATCACACTATAACACATTTTGAAGCATGATATATTTTTACAGAGAAATATCATGATAAACAACAATATACTGAAATAATTTTATGCCACTTACATAAAGCAGGGTAATCCCAGTAAACCAGTTTGTAAATAGACAGTATAATTTAAAGGCCTGGGCAGCAACAAATAAACATCAAAATTAACAAATAATCAGCCATAGAAGTTATTTATTCAACCCTGTACAGCTCAAATATTTTCTTATTACAGCTAAAATAACTAAAATCTCCCTGTTATTGCAAAGAAAAAGTAAATATTGAGCCCAAGATTTCTTATACTGAACAATAAGTAGATGTAATAATTATCATGACAGACCTATGATTATACTGACTAAACCAACTGCTGCAAAAGTAGTTCAGATGTATAGACTGCTGAAGATCTCCTTGTGTGATGAGTCCTCAAATTATCTTGCATCATGGAAGGTATTTTGCTTTTAACGAGCAGCCATGATCTAACCGGTTACCATAGAAACACCACCCTCCCGTTTTAGAGCTGCTTGGAGAGCTCAGTGACCAAAAGGTGGTGGGTGAGCAAATAAACCACTCATCCAAAGTCTTGATTTTGGCTGTCCCCAGTCCTGTTATTTTCCAAGACTACTACTATACCAACACACGCATATACTATTTGTGTTTTTTATGCTTCTTTGCTTTATCTATTTAAAGGACCTGTATTACACAGTGTGGACTCTTCTGAGTTGTTAGTCATGTTGGGATCTCATTAAGAAATACCTTGAGTTGTGTTTTGTTTCATTCTTACTTGTTTGAGTAACCCTGAATTATTAGTCTGTCTACATCTCCCAGTTTGAAATGCTCTGTTCCACCTTGTGATGTCAAGTTAACAGTGTTTACCTTAAGTTCAGTAGAGATTTCAATTCCAGGGCTGAAATCATCTAAATCGGACATGTCAAACTCAGGCCTGGGGGCCAAATTTGTCCCACGATATAATTAGATTTGGCCCTCGAGATCATATCAAATATGTATAGAAATATAGAAACATTATTTATTTAAATATAGCTATTATTTTATATTATGGTTGTTTTGGATTCAGTGTTTAAGCAAAACTATTATTAATTAATTATTTTAATAAGAAAAGGTTTAACATTACATATCTCGAAACAAGAGAAAACATGCAGATGTTGTTGAAATTTTTCAATAAATATTTAGTTTGACCATTGACTTAGTGAATTTGAGTTTCACACCCCTGATCGAAATGATTCTAGTGAATGTGTATGGAGTTTAAAAACACTGTAGAGCACTTCCTGTATTATCACATGACATCACAAGGTGGAACGGCGTGTTATCTATTTGAGAAAACTCTAACCTAAATATGCATGGTTTGTGTATTAAACATGTGAATGAAACAAAACACAACTCCATGTATGTTTTTGAGGAGGTAGCAGCTTTCTAACATAAAGATCATCATTTTGCATAATATAGCACCTTTAATCTCAGTGCTCGTGTGTTTTTTCTGCTTTTTTTTGTAGGCTGCTTTACTCTGTGCTGCCTCCATCTGTTGCCAATGAGCTGCGTCACAAAAGACCCGTCCCAGCCAAACGCTATGACAACGTTACCATCCTCTTCAGCGGCATCGTGGGCTTTAATACCTTCTGTAGCAAGCACGCCTCGGCCGAAGGAGCCATCAAGATCGTCAACCTGCTCAATGATGTTTACACGCGCTTTGACATCCTGACAGACTCCAGGAAGAACCCCTATGTGTACAAGGTGTGCAGCTGTAAATGCAGTGTTTGAACGTCTGATATCATGTTTTTATGTATGACGGACATGTGGTGGAGAGTCTGTCAAATGCTTTTCTCCATGGACATGTTATTGCTTTCACTGGAATGTTTCACTGTATCATATTAAACCTTTCAATCTTCATGGAGACCAAACCAGACATGGTTACAGGCCAGATCTGTGTAGAGGCAACCTGCTCACAGTCAAATCACCTGTTTTTCCCAGGTATTTTTGAGCTATAAAACCATCTGTAATTTAATAAATGTAAGATATTGCTCTTTAATGTCATACTGTGGAGCATTCCAGGCCGAGCAATTCATAGAAACACGTAGGCAACAGACCCTCCACCAGAAGAGTTACACAGTGCACCTTTAATCCAAACTAAAATGGTCTTTTTTCCTTACAGGCCACACACTTGGTTTTAGACTTAGATTTTTTTTAAATTTGATCCCAGAGGGACAATAATGGAGCAGCCAGGGAAGGGGTGAAGTGAGAGCTCAAATTGGATAAAAAATAACTTTATCTGGAAAGTTTCATAGCTCTGACTGCAACGTAATCTATTTTTGTGAAAAATAAAAGATTACGATATGTGCACAAATGGTCCCCAAGGGTGTCAAGGGGTGAAAAACATTAACATAAGAACATTACACAAGCAAGAATCTGAAATACAGAAAATACAACAACAATATACAGTTAAAAAGTCCTTGAAGAGTTGTTAAGGAGGCCGATTCATTCCAGTGCAAAATCCTTCCTGGCCCTCTGTGGTTGGGTAGTTTTAGATATTTTACAAATGTGTTACAATGTGGCTCAATTTTTGGACCATGCAACCCAAACAACAAAAGCTCAAATCTAGAATAATGAATTCAGATTTCAGATCATTTACCAAATGTGTCCCTGAGCTAAAACACAAACAAACAAACAAAAAAACACTAAAATATAAACTACAGTAAATTACACTAAGGTCTATGTTTTGCTACATTCAAATCATTTTTACTGCAAGTTCATGGCAGGTGAACTTTGCTTTAGAGTCAGTTCCTCTCCTCGCTCTGTCTTATTTCGGTATTTCCTTCATTTCCGTCCTATTAATAAGAGCCTAAGGTAAAACAAATCTCAGAATATTAACAGAAATAATTTCATCAGCGAGTTACACGAAAACAACTGGACTTACTTCGCTTTTTTATAGTCAGAATTTTGCTACCAACCAGATACTGTAGCTTCATCAAGACCTGACTTTGTTTTATTCCTGGATGTCTTAAAATGTGCAGCAATTAACACAAATAATTTAAAGGTGCACTGTGTAACATTTCATTTGGAGGGTCCGCCACCAGATGTCTTCCTGGAAATGTTATTGCTTTGTCTAGAATGTTCCACAGTATAGTTAATAATAGTTAGTAGTTAATAATTTCTATCACAAGGGAGACAAGCAGGTTACAGCACTACACTACTACAATTCAGATCTGGGAGAGTCGCCCCTATTCACAGAAGGAATTCATTTATTTTTGATAGAGACAAATAGGTAGCGGACCCAGAAAGGTTACACAATATAGCTTTAACAAATAAATTAAAACGTAGAGTATGAACTGATGAAGTAGGAACCATCCTTTTATTCAACCTAAGCATGAAACATTTCTAAACATACACAGACTCTGCCTCATCTCATCCATCTCAATTGACTTTCCTCAAAGCAGGGCAGTATGAGCTCCAAACTGTGGGTAGTTTTACAATGGAGGATTTTATAGGCAAGTACAGCAGATTTACACTCCAGGCTTTCAGACAAGAATGCTCTTTGAGAAGTCAAACAGATCTGTGCACATCCTGGAGATCAGTGTTAGGCACTGGGTCGCCAAAAGAAGTAATATTTACTTTAGGCACTGAATGACTTGGTGGTCCTTGAGCTTAGTGAGACTCAAAGGGGCCCTGGATGTCTTTGGAGTGACGTAAGTGTGTAACAGTTTATCTCATGGTGTTTAAGTTTATTTCTGGCTTCAATGTATATGTAAAAAAAGCCTTTGTTGAATTGTGAGGTCAGATTTTAGTGCCGTCGCTACCAGCGCATGGGGAAATTGATGATGATGTCACCTGAATGTTGGTGAAGTTTCATAACAGATCGTATTTATTGTGCAGGTGGAGACGGTTGGCGATAAATATATGACTGTGAGTGGTCTGCCGGAGCCGTGCACCCACCACGCCAAGTCTATCTGCCACCTCGCGCTGGATATGATGGAGATCGCCGAACAAGTGAAAGTGGACGATGAGCCAGTTCAGGTTTGTTACTAACTGTACAACATAGGGATGTGCAAAAATATTGAAATATATCGATATATCGTATCATTTAATATGATGATACAGTATCGATATTGTGGGCTGCTGTATCGCTATATCACCAAGAGTATTTTTTGGTATATTTTACTAAATTATTTTGTTACAGTGCTACAGTTTTGTTTGTTTTGAGGAAGCAAACTCGTTTATGTGACAGATTCGACATTTTCACTATTTTGAGGATAAAAATGTTTGTGTTTCATATTAACTATGCACAAGAAGTGATTTAACAAAGACGTTTAGTATCACAGCCTTGATTTAGCCTTTATTTTTATTGAACCTTATTGAATCAAGTTGAAATATATCGTATTGAATCATATGGAATTGAAAGCTCACTGTATCGAGGTATGTTTCATATCGTGGCCTATGTATCGAGGTATGTATCGTATCGGCAACTTCTGAATGATACCCAGCCCTAACTACATACATACAGTGGTAATGCAATAGTGCTTATTTGTTGTTTAAAAACTGAGAAATTTGTGTCGGACATCAGGGGCACAACGAAAACTACAACAACATCCAAACAAAAATTCATACAAGTGACAGTACTCATTACATTCAAATGACCAAGAGTTACACACTCCACAAAAAATAATAGAGCCATTAAGATATAGTCCCCAGAAAAGACTAGAGCCATTACACATATTCATATCCACATTGCACACAATGTATTACACAACCTTCATAGCCTTGAGATACAATTTCTATTTCACTCTATTGCAGTCAATATTGCACGCACCCCATAGAATTATCCTTTTTTCTGATGTACAATTTTACCAAGGCTGATTACTGTAATATCATAAAAATCCACATTGACAATTTAACATGATATGAGTTAAAAAGTTACTGTGGGGGGCTGTGAGGACTGTGAGGAATTATAATTGAGTGTATTCATTCACATTAATCCTTATTGTGCTCAGACAAGCTCACCTCCTTCACTCCACTAACAGTCATGTATCAGTGATTGATCTCTGAATAATTATATTTGCACATCTGGACATACCTTTATGCTGAAGTAATAAACAGTGAAATGTTGGACAGAAAGCAGCAGACATATTGTTTAATGGATGGTTTGGGATTGTTATTGTATCAATGACTGTTGAGACGTAACGTAGGAAAATCATGTCTGGCAAACAAAAGGTTGTTTATTTTGGGCCATGGTCCTGGATGAAGAGGAGTCCGTGTTAGTAGCAGAAACAAGACTCAAATCATCTCACGATCCTCCAGCTAAAAATAGATCCTCATTTGTTTTAGGCACTCTCGGCGTGTTCAAGCTCCCAAGACAACAAGCATGAAGAGAAACTGTTTTAGCATAAATATTGTTTTAGCGAAAAAGATAATTTCTCTTTACTGCAAACATTGGAACCTAAAAATAATGTCATGGGACTTGCTGAAAACGTTATCTGTCCACCAAGAGTTTAACTTTTGCTACAAGAATTTACCAACCCCAGTAGATCATTATCCACTCTAAGCCTCTCAGAGATTCAAAGGAAGGAGCACAGTTTGTTTCGGAGCTATCTCTTTTGTACACACTGTCTGTACAAGTAAGTTTTGACCGAAGAGCTCACATGTGCGGTTGTGTATGTTTTCTTCTTTCTAGATTACTATCGGGATTCACACAGGAGAAGTTGTAACTGGAGTGATTGGCCAAAGGATGCCTCGATACTGCCTTTTCGGAAACACGGTTAATCTCACAAGTCGCACAGAAACAACCGGTGAAAAAGGGAAGATAAATGTCTCTGAGTACACTTACCGGTGAGTGGAGTTAGACACACTTCAATTTTTCAAACTTTTTAAAGGTACATTGCGCAACTTTCGGGTCCGTCACTTGCTTCTCTCCATGGAAATGTTACTGCTTTGCCTGGAATAGACTTTGACTTAGACTTAGACAAACTTTATTGATCCGCAAGGGAAATTATTTGGATACAGTAGCTCACACATCACAACATAATATAATAACAAGAGAAAGAGGGAAAAAATGTAAGGGGTAATAATAAATTCTAAATAAGTAACAAAACAAAAAAAAAGCAAGAGACAGGTGTCAAATAAGACATAATTATATAAATGTAAATGTACAGGACATACTGTAGGGTTATCTGTTATATAACGGTGAGTTCTTGTACAGTTGTAGGGAGTATTGTCTGTTACATAAGGGTGAGTTGTTGTACAGTTGTAGGGAGTATTATCTGTTACGTAAGGGTGAGTTGTTATACAGTTGTAGGGAGTATTATCTGTTACATAAAGGTGAGTTGTTATACAGTTGTAGGGTTTATTATCCGTTACATAAGGGTGCATCATTGTACAGTTGTACGGAGTATTATCCGTTACAAAAGGGTCAGTCCTTGTACAGTTGTAGGGAGTATTATCTGTTACATAATGGTGAGTCGTTGTACAGTTGTAGGGAGTATTATCTGTTACATAAAGGTGATTTGTTGTACTATTGTGTGGAGTATGGTATGAATGTAGTCCTGTATTTCTCACTGTTGTGAATGTTTCATGGTGTGACAACATTTTTTCATTACGGGTGTTTCCATTCCTCAAAAATACAATAATTCTCTCTGTGAATAGGGTTGCCTCTCCACAGATCTGACCTGTAATGTAGCCTATAGTTGTGTCACTTGAATTAGATAGGTTTAATCTCTATTGTGGGAACATTCTAGGCAAAGCAAAAACATCTCCATGAAGAGAAGCAGGTGACGGACCCTTCATTAGAAATGTTGTGCAATGCCTCTTAGCTCAATGTTTCCTAAACTTTTTTTCTGGTGACCCATAATTTAAAAATCCCAAACCTTTGCGACCCAAGTCAATAGACATTATTCGTAAATCATAAAACAAAGGTGGATTTGACCATTATTGAACATTAATGAGGATATTTTATTGTTGATTGAGTGATCGTGTCTCTCTGAACAATTAGCATTAATCAAGTTTTAAACAACGAAAAACAGTAATTGAACCAGCAATAAAAGGAATCCCTGTATATTGCAGACCTAAATGCAGATCGTGACAAGGCGACCCAAAAAAAATCTCTTGTGACCCACCTGAGAGTCGTGACCCAGTCTTTCAGAAACATTGTCTTAGCATATAAGCTTTCATGTGGAAACAACTAAATTATCCACTCTTCACTGAAAGATGTTTTAATATTTAATTTAATCATCTTGCCTCCATAGAGTTGTAATTGTATTAACTTCAGAGGCGGTTTTCTGAAAATGCATTTCCTCCCAGAGAGACACAAGGATCACCCCTCAAAGCCGTGCCTACGTATATCAAAATTTTCAACCTCATACTTAACAAGATTTTCTCCAGAAGTCTGCAAATTTCTGTTTTACTCAAATACTAAATAAGAACTTCAAAATCCCTCTGTATATTTTTTAGTGTCTAATGATTCAAGAAAAAGAAGCAAGGAATTTAAACCAGGCTTTTCTCATGTTTCTCTTTTGAATATTTTTACACATAAAATGCCTGATTTGTATACGAAAACATTACAGGATGAAAAATGTATTATTATTATTTTTTTTCGTCTATGTTAGTAAGGCAGAGAAAAAGTTTATAATTGACCTGCAATGTCTCGCCTAAAATATGAATATGTGCATTATGGAGGAGAAACAAAATGAACCCACTGCACTTCAGGAAAATTATGTTACAATTCTCCGCAACAATTTAAAAGCAGACAAAGAGAGAAGAGAAGGACAATCTTATCTTGCGTTAAATATTTGTTCATGTCATAGTCGTAGTAAGATTTAATGAAACACAAATCTTTCAGGCTTCGTTTTATGTGTGATTTGTGAATATGTTGACACTTTATTTCAGGTGTTTGCAGTCTGCGGAAAATGCCGACCCCCAGTTTCTCCTGGAATATAGAGGCCCCGTCACCATGAAAGGAAAGAGTGAACCCATGAAGGTGTGGTTTCTCTCCAGGAAGTCCACAGACACAGAGTCCACCACGAAATAAAGCTTAATTCACTGTCCCGGATGTACAAAACAACTTAAAGGTGCATTGTGTAACTTTTCTGGTGGAGATGTTATTGTTATTTATTGATGTTATTGTCTGGAATGTTTCACAGTATGGTATTAAACAATTTTATCGTCATGGAGACCAAATCAGGCCAAGTTACAGGTCAGATTTGTGGAAAGGCGACCCCGCTCTCAGCCAGAATGCCTGTTTTTTTTTTTAGGGATTTTTGAGCTAAAAAACACCTGCAATTGAATAAATGCATGGTAGAACGGTTTAAAGTCATACTGTGGAACATTCCAGGCTGAGCAATGACATCTCCATAGAAACAAGCAGGTTACGGACCGCCAATCAAAAAGTTACACAGTGCACCTTTAAAATATAACTCATGTTTTTAACTATTTCAGACTTGTGAGATTAGTCTTGGATTAGTCTTGTAAAAGTGTTTTATTATTAAGCTACTTATTTAAAGAGATACATTACCCTTTTTAGTTCTGAGAGATGAGATGAGACACTTAAATCTGATTTTTATTACTTTTAAATTGCTTTAAAAAAAAGAGTGTTTTATTCTATTAGCAGATGAGACACGCTGCAAAAACCAAAATCTAGCCAAGTTAAAATTACTTGAATGAAGAAAGTTTTATCATGATTTGAGTACATTTCATTTGACAAGTAAAATTATCAACCATAACAACAAGATTTTTGTACTTAAAACATGAAAATACATCTTGCTACACTTATGAGAAGAATAACAACTCTTTGCACTTAAAATAAAAAAACTAAATCTTATTTCATCTTATTCCATTGGTAGATCATTTTACTTGACAAGTTGAATCTACCGTATTTTTTGGACAATAAGGCACGCTTAAAATCCGTTAATTTTCTCAAAAATCGACAGTGCACCTTGTATTCCAGTGCACCTTATCTATGAAAATAGAAAAGAGAATTCAACATTATTGGTGTTGTGTCTTATAATCCAGCGTGCTTTATAATCCGGAAAATACGGTACTCAAATAAAATAAAATGTTCTTAATTGAAGTCATTTTAACTTACCTAAATATTGTTTTTTGCAGCGCACATAGAATAGATTTTACTGTTTTACTGTGCTTTAAAAAATAGAGCTATACTTACAATATTAAAAAAAAGAAAGATTGGTTATGTTAATTTTATAGTCACTGATTTGTAGTAAAAACAACACAAAATGCTTAGAGAGTGTACAGTGGTGTGTTAGATATACTTAATATTTTAGAGAGGTTGATAATGAACAAAATAATAGATTAATTACAGTAATATAAAGATTAAATATATGACTCATTTGTATGCGACATCCTACAGCGAAATAGTAATTTTGTTTGTAAAAGTTATATATATTTACATGGCATTTTGTAGCTGTTGTATCAGACATCTTTGTATGTTATTGAGACACAAAAACACTTTAAAGGTGCATTGTGTAAGTTTTATGGTAGAGGGCCTCCCACCTGTTTGTCTCCATGGTGATATTATTGCTTTGCCTTGAATGTTCCACAATGTGACATAAAACTTATCTAACTCCATGAAAACAGGCAGTTACAGGTCAGATCTGTGGAGAGATATGCCCGCTCATGGCATGTTTTTCAAGGTATTTTGAGCAATAAAACACTGTTAATGAATAAATGTTAGACAGATGTTTAATGCCGTACTGTGGAACATCCAAGACAAAACAGTAACTTTTATGGAGACGAGCAGGCGGCAGACCTACATCAGAAAAATTACATAGTGCACATTTAGTCACACTCTGAAATGAGTCCAGCAGTAGTTTTAAATATCGCCAGTTTTGGGACGAAAACTATGAAAATGTTTTTAGTCACAGAATTCTGAATATCTGCATTAAATGGTCCATATTACGCTGTTTTCTGATCTCTGTTATGTTGTTTCCTCATCAAAAAACTAACACAAACGACCACTTCATGACATCACAAGGTGGAACAGAGCATTTTGAGCCTTGGAGATGTAGACAGACTAATAATAAAGTGTTACTCAAGACATGTGTGAATGAAACAAAACACAACTCCCGGTGTGTTTTTGAGGAGGTAATAATAATATAAAGCTCACAAGAGTCAATTTGGTTGTTATATAGTTTCTTTAAAATGTATTTTGTAACATATTCTGATACATGGTCCACACAGAGTACTGTATTCTGAATATTTGGAATACTTTTACAATAAGTTGCATTATATTCTAGTTAAAAACCAACACTGTTTTATTTTGGTTGCCCTGTTTATCATGCCTTTTTATTGAGTTCAAAGCCAAGATTACATGATAAAATACCGCCGTGTATTCCTGTTAATTTAGGAAAGTAACTGTAATTAACTGTACCGAAAGTACTTAAAATTTGTATTCTGAATGCATCTTTACAGTACATGTATCCAGTTACTTACCAACACTGAACATAGCAGTAGAATATATTTTAATTTTATTTAATCTGTGCCACTTATGTACCTTCATGCACACTACCTTGTCTCCTGTTGCAATATTTAAAATCCTACTGTCTAATCTTACAATGTTTTGAATCTATTTATTGTAGACTACATGGTATTTATTTTGCACAAGTTATACTACAATTATAACTGACTATACTACTTTTATTTGTTCACAGAATATTGTTGTGCAACATTTATTTCACTTAATATATTACTATATTTTTGTTTATTCTCCTGTGTTAATGTTTTGCTTTAAATTATAATAAATCTTAATTATTTGTGAAGAATTGTTGTTATGTTGGGATCTATAGTAAAATTAAGCGCCATCTAGTGGCTGTTTTAGTCGTGAGCATAGACTGGGGACAGTGTATGGTCTTGAAGCTTTAGGCAAATAAAAGTTTTTAGTTTCATTTCATCCAGTAAGGACATAGTTATTTTACTTTATTGTTATTTTTTGGTTATTTTGTGTGTTTTTGTAGTTGAGTCTGTTAAGGAGTCACACTGTCTGTTGCACAAGTACTGACACTTCAATAGGCAGGTGTTTCCCAACCAGAGGTACCATACTTGGGATACTTGGGGTGTGTAAGAAATTTACCAGGGCCAGGGGTAGCTTTACCATACCGTACCACACCATCTTAATTTATAAAGCACTTTAAACACTACTTTTGAATAGAAGAGGATAATCAAAGTCAGACTATTAAAAACAATAAAGCACAAGTTACTGAAGTGAATTAACAACAATTAACATCTCATCTTCTAAATGCCAGAGAAAAGAGAAGCCAAATTTTAAAAGATGCTGAAATTGTAATAGTATTTGGATTAAACATGTTTCTAGAAGTAACATTTGGCATCTTTAAGACAGTTTTGGATGATTATGGACTAAAAAGACCATATAGCTTGTAATGATTGGCAATATTATTCTATAAGTACATTTATTTGCCTATAGCTAGGGTGACCAGACATGCCTATTTACCCAGGACAGTCTCAGTTTTGAGCCCTGTGTCCCCTGTCCAAGTGGATTTATCCAAAACCATTGACTTGTCCTAGTTTTATATAAGAAATATCCCAGGTGTCCCTATTTTTGACCAATCTGAGACCAGTCAACAGTAAAGAGAGGCATAAATTGTCACTTATTTAGGTAAAATACAGAAAAGCTGCTTAAAAAACAAACAAAAAAACACACACAGAGAAAATGTGATTATACTGACTCACGTTAGTCATGACCTGGCCAAATGCAAACAGCTTTCCTTAATTATGCACTCATTTCACAGTTTTATTATTACCAATCACTACAAACCGGGGGTGCCTCAGTTTTTGATTTTGAAGATCTGGTCACCCTAACTATAGCACCAGAATTATTCCTCTTCAGTTTTAGTGTTCACTTAATTTGGAATCAGTTGTATCACCTTCTTATAGAAAGTTATTGTGTAGAATTTATGAACTAAAGTGGTTTAGCTCTGGGATAATCCGGTATTAGACCTGGTTTAAATCTGGTGGAAATTGATGTGGAAATTTTGAGAATTAGTGACCAGTAGTAATGGAGATAAGGGGTAATCTGTGTGTGACATAGGACATAGAGTCGAGCAAAAAATAAAATAAAATAAATAAAAGTTGAGAACATAGAGTATGGGAACCACCAGTTCTACTTGTAAACTGTAGGGGGCAGCAATGCACCAGAGACGCGTTTATTTTTCGTAACAAGAAGCGGAAGAAGAATAATGGGGGGCTCGGGATCAGACATGACTGCGCTCAGCGGACGCTCCCACCAATATGAGCATGAAGAAACCCTGAAATGGTCTTTCTGAAGTCATTTATGGACCGAGTGACAGTGAAGGACGAGGCGGACCCGTGGGGCCCCTCTCAGCGCGGCTTTAGGTGAGAAAAGACACGCAAAAGTGGAGAGATACAGAGGCAGACAAAGTTCAAGGCAACTGTCATTATATTAATTCAATGTAAACATACAACAAAGAGCGTGCACATAGTGATTTTGTGTAACCTCGCGAGCACTTTTGTGATTCAACTAAATAAAGACGTGTTTTGTTTTCGTTGTGGTTTGCGCGCTGGGACTGGGTGTACTAGATCTGTATTCTCAAGGGACTTATGCCAGATGTGTCTTGTTTTCTTTGTCTTAGTCACAAACATGGCTCAGATCCACAGCAGAAACTACGAACTCAAGTGATCAAGAGTGAAGTGATAACTGGTAAGATATCTACTTTTTTATTGTTTATTGTTTTTTTTTTTTTTTTGTGAGAACTTGAATTAAATGCTGTTTTTGTGTTGTTTATTTCTTCCCCTTCAGGCCAAAACCATCACCTCTCAGACCAAGCACAAATGAAAGACCAGTTATGCATCAAACCTGTGGAGGAGCTTTCAGGTTTTCCTTTGACGATCATATCTGTCAAAAAAGAAGACGCTGAGGAGGAGTTTAATGAGCAAATGGAAGGCGCTGCGGAATTGGAGATGGATAGTTACGGAAATTCTTCTGACACGGACAATTCAGTGAACTGGGACAGAGAACTATCAGCTAAAATCTCAGCTGGGCACGAATCCGACTCCAGTTTACAAACAGACGAAGACGAACAAGCTGAATGTTCGGAAGACTGGATTCAGAAGTGGAAAGTTAATGATGATGTCTGTTATCCGGTGCATGTTAACAGCAATCCAGGCTCAGTTGTTGAGTGCGGTGCGACAGAAGAGCACAGATGTTCAGACTGCGGGAAGATTTTTACTGATAAGCTGTACCTAAAGAGACATATGATAAGGCATACAGGTAGAAGACCATTTACATGCTCAGTTTGTAAGAAAAGTTTCACTCAAAATGCACATTTGAGGAAACATATGCGATGCCACACAGGAGAGAGGCCTTTTAGTTGCCCCATGTGTGATTCAGCGTTTAGCTTGAAGCAAAACCTGCATCGTCACATGACCAGTCACAGTGGAGCGAAGTCTTTCAGCTGCCCAGTCTGTAAGAAACTCTTCACTCAGAAATGCCATCTCAGTCGGCACATGAGTCTACACCTGAGAGAAAAGCTCTGCAGTTGTCCAGGTGAATCATGCGAACATATAAAGACTGTGAATGGTCAGATAATGGCTCTAACCGCAGAGAAACCCTTCATCTGTCCTTTTTGTAGCAAAGGTTTCACACGCAAAGACCATCTCTCCTCACATCTGAGCGCCCACACAGGAGACAAGCAGTTTGATTGTCCTCAATGCGATGCCAAGTTTAATCTCAAGCAAAGTTTAGAGCGGCACATGACAGTACACAGCGGAGAGAAGCCTTTTAAATGCCCAGATTGTAAAAAAGGATTCACCAGGAACAGCACTCTGAAACTGCACATGAGAACACACACCGGGGAAAAACCCTTCAGCTGTTCAGAATGTGACGCGAAGTTTAACCGAAAAGAAAACTTCCTTCGCCACTTAACTGTTCACACCGGAGCGAGGCCGTACAGCTGCCCAGTTTGTAAAAAGGACTTTGTGCGTAAACCAAGCCTTGATAAGCATATGAAATCTCACACTAAACAATGACACATTTATACTGTCTTTTATAATCTCTGAGGATTTATTTTAAAGGGCCCATAGTACACCATTTTCTGATCTGTGTTATGATATTGTTTCCTCATCACAAACATACCTTTCAGTTGTTAACACACAAACCCTGCATAGTTAGGCTGAGTTTTTCTCTCAAACAACAGAAACCAAAAACAGTCATGTCATGTGATAATACAGAAAGTGCTCCACTGTGTTTTAAACCCAATACACTTTCACTAGAATCATTTGGATAATTTTCAGTCCTGGAATTTCCAATGTATACTGAACGAAGAGTAAAACCTAGCTGTTACTTTGAAAACTACTGCTTCATGACATCACAAGGTGGAAACAAGTATTTTGAGCTTTAGAAGCATATACAGACTAATACAGGGTTACTCAAATATGTGTGAATACGATTATACAAAATACATATATACAAAAAGTATCTTTTTGATGAGGTAACAAATCTAACATGGCTTAAAGCTCAGAAGAGTCAGTTTTGCCTTTAATAAATTATTTTTTCAGACCAAAGTTTAGTTTAAATAGCATAAATCAGCGTACCAGACAGACACAGCAACATCACATGACCTCTAAGGGGAAGAAGAAGAAGAGGAAATGCCAAAACTGTCAAGTATAAAAAATAAACAAAACTTTGGTCTGAAAAAATAGTGCATTAAAATGTGTATATTTTATTAATTATTAGGCCACTGTAGTATGAATAATAACTTTTTGTTCGTTTTATATCTGTTTTATCTGCTAAAATTGTAAAATAAATTTGTTAAAAGATACCATGAGTAATTTTCTTTTAGTTTAGTTTATTTATTTTGTTTTACAGGATCAGTGTACAGAAGCATTAATGAAAGAAACATGGAAGAAATGCTTTGTACCAGACTAAAGCTCTCTGAACTAATTTCCATCTGCAGTCCAAGAGACAGAGAAAACACAGAATACAAAAGTAGCAATAAAAACAGTGCACTCTATATACAAATAGTGATATGAAGTACAATGACATTAATTAAATACCTCAATCCTCTTCCATCCTACTCCCTCTGTGCACTTTATCAGATATCATTTAGTTATAAAATGTGTTTTGCTATATTTGTTGTCTCCTTTGTGTTGTTATATTCCAAGTCGTGTGTTGCTGTTAGAATAATTGCATATATTATCCCATATTTGCTATATTTGCTATGTACAATTTGTTTGTGTGAATTTGAATAATCTCCTTGTGCTTAGAAACTGTATGCAGTAACCCTCCACTCACGTGTGAACAACGGGACGATTTGGCACTCTGCTGGTAGCAGACACTCTCATGGCTGCACGGAGGGAGCTGTGTTTGATAACAGAATGAAACATATGCACCTGCTGTTGATCACACATATTTGTATGTCTGGTGTTTCTGCTGTGTTCACCCCCTTCCCTTAGAGCAGAAACATTGTAACTAGGGACCATCTTAAGATCTCTGAGTGCATCAGAGCGGGTAGAGACTGTAACTGAATGCACCCTCCTCGCGAGTAAAACCTTATTAATCTCTTGTCTTTCTTCTTGTTTTTACAATGTTTACAACCTAACAGTTGCCTAAGGACGCCCTCTAGTGGCCAAGCGCTGTTTTGTGCACACAGTAGGTTAAACGACAAAGACACAGGCTGTAGGAAGGTTTTCATCCTGTACTAAAAGATTACAGCCAGCAGTTCAGGAACATAGTTATGCTTCTCATGTAAGTAAATCTGATATATGCTTATGTCCTAAAATATACATATGCATACAGTTTACTACTAATTGTACTAATTGCTTTTACTGTTTGTGATTTTTTTTTAATAAATGCATTAGCAGCTCTGTGTCAAAGATAGTATTAAAATGCAGAGATAGGTAGTTCTAACAACTGTTTCCCTTGTGGTTCTTGCACCGCTCCTTCATATGTGGTCTGTGTCTATCCTCTGAAAATTATTTTGTGCATTATTTAATGTTCTGTGTGCATCAAATTACATGAATTTGTAATAAATCTTATTTGAGTAGTAGTTTTCCCAAATACTTTATTACTTTTACTTGAGTAATTTCTTGGACCACTACTTTGTACTTGTACTTCAGTAATATTATTTTTAATTTTTAAAGTAACATTACTCTTACTTGACTACAGTTTTTGGCTACTCTACCCACCTCTGATAAGATTCTCTTGTCTGGTGATTACATCGAGAAGTCAAAGTCTCCTGAGATAAGAAAGGTCTTCTGAAGGTGTGAAGTTCATGCAGAGGTTTTCTGAGATGGACTGAGCTGCTCATTCAGGCAAATAAAAAGTGGAGGTCCCTGTAGTTTAGTTTTAGTTATGTTAATTAAGATGCGTTTGTGTGCCTGTGTTTTTAGAATGTGCTGAATAGAGATACTGGAGTAGAGGCTAAATCAGGACATAAAGGAAACTGTCTTTTAATATTAACTGTTGATAAGGCTCATATCAGAACTGTCCTGATAATGATCAAAGCTGAGTCTGGAGCATCTCATAACCCTTTGCTGAGTTTCACATGACATCATGCAATGGACTGTAAAGTGTAGCTGAGAGGCAGCTGCTTTTTGGTGTGTTTGGATACACTGCAGAATAATTCAAGATCATATATTACTCAAAACTGACTGTTTTAAGCCATGTTACAATATTGTCAATATTAAATTATTGTCAGAACATGGAGTTGTGTTTTGTTTCATTCACACATGTTTTAGTAACACTTTATTATTAGTCTGTCTGCGTATCCAAAGCTCAAAATGCTCTGTTTCACCTTGTGTGAAGTTAACAGCTCCTTTTACTTTTAGTTCAGTAGAGCTGACAGTTCCAGGTCTGAAATTATCCACATGAGTCGAGTGAAGGTTCATGGATTTTAAAAACACAGTGGAGTACTTCCTGTATTATCGCATGACATAACAAGGTGGATTTTTCAGTTTTCAGTTTGAGAGAAGAACTCCTAAATATGCAGGATTTATGTGCTAAACATGTGTGAATGAAACAAAACACAACTCCATGTATGTTTTTGATGATGGAACATTATAACATAGATCAGAAAATAGCTTAATTTGGGCCTTTTAACCTTCGTGGTAATATAAATGACTGACCAGGTACAATATTTTATAAAGGGTGTTTTTACATGTTAGAGCTGGTACGTTCTACTCCATTTACCATGTTTGGAGATACGGGTAGACACAATAACCTTTAGCTTCTGCCTGCACCTGGTGACTTACTTAATGTTTGATTTGATTTAGAAGTTTTATGTAAACACTTTGAATTACTTTTTGTACCAATTGTGCTATACAAGTAAACTTGCCTTGCCTTGCCTACGTAGTGAATAAGTTTTATTTTATGGGCATCACACTGAATATAATGTATGTAGACTGTAAAGAGTTATACATTGACCAAATAAATAAAATGAATGAATGAATGTTTAAAGTTAAGTTAAAAAAAAAATTTAAAATTCATCTTGTCTCACCACCACATTTATGAATCGGAAAAGATAAGCCTGCTATAAATACAAAATTTGAGTTGACAAGTTGATTATCTGCAAATCTGAGGACTCATCTGAAAAGTGTTTTGTGTATTTATTACTACAACCTATTTGATGCCAGGCCACAGTAACACATTTTGAAGTACAATTTATTGCTGAAGTAAATATAGACAATAAACGATAATACTGAATCTAATTTGTGGCTCTAAAACAAAAACTCAAGAGTAGATTTAAACCACAAAAACTGTTCTAAATCTACAATATTGCTAAAAAAGCACGAGCTGCAATAAATAAACAGCAGAAATAAACACTTAAAGGTGCACTGTGTAACTTGTCGTCTACTTGTCTGTCTCCATGGAGATATTATGTTATTTCTTCAGCTGGAATCAGTGGTAGAGTTAGCAATTTGGGGGCCCTAGGTAACCTTGATTTTGGGGCCCTCACTATAATGCACCATTTTTCTATTTTGTTTTGTTTTTAAAATATATTTATTGTCTGTTTTCCCCCATTGCACATCTGTTTTTTTTTTTAATTATGGTGGATTGGAAACTTGTCTTATTAGTTAGATAGCTTACTAGATAACCAGAACTGAAAGAAATTTTATTTTTTTTGCTAGTACAATTACATTTTTGTTCACATCCATTACATATGATGATTATTATTTTTTCCTATGGTTACTGTTTAAAAGTAAACTACTCTCATTTAATGTCATATTGACAGAAAATCAAATTGCTCTGAGGCCTCAGCAATGCATGGCACTGAGGGCAATTGGTTGGGGGCCCCTCCAGGTTTGGGGGCCCTAGGCAGCCGCCTATTTTGCCGAATGGTAGCACCGCCTCTGTCTGGAATGTTCCACAGTAGGCTATTAAACATATGTCCCTTGCACTTGTTCAATTACAGGTGTTTTATAGCTCAAAAATATCTGAACATCGTGAATTTTTTACCATGTGCAGGCTTGCTTCTCCATAGATCTGACCATCAACCTGTCTCCATTCTGATTATCAAGTTTATATCCATACTGTAGAATAATCAAGGCAAAAGAGGAACATCTCTGTAGAGACAAGCAGGCAACGGTCTCTCTACTAGAAAAGCTGCACCTTTAATTATTAACTTTGCATCTGTAATGAGTCATAGTAATTATTAATTCAACCTTTTACAGCTTAAATCTGGTAATATAGCCAAAAAATAACCACAAATTTCCCAGTACTGACCACAAAATATATTGTTCTATCTTTCATATATTGAACAATAAGTCTCTTTATAGTGATGATTGATTTGACAGGCTCTTTTGAAGTGAAACTGTGAAACAAAAACTGCCACGCGTTTCCCAAATAAGCACCTGCAGAACTGGTTGTGGTGTACAATGTTACAGGAATTACTATAGATTTAAGTGTACCAATGAGCTTGGAGTGGGCATGGCTTTACCTATTCAGTATTATGCAAGTGAGAAATTGTGCTATCATATTACCTCAGGTCGAGCTTTAAACAGCCACATCATCATTAAGATAAATGAGGCGATAAGACGATCCGGGTTTTAAAAGGCATGTCAGAGCCGCCAGGTGCAGTCCCTGTCACTGCAGACTCCACCACTGCTCAGCCTCATCCTGCACCCGCCACCCAACACCCGCCAACATGACCTTCAATGGAGCCTGGAGAGTTGACCGCAGTGAAAACTATGAGAAGTTTATGGAGCAAATGGGTAAGAGGAAAAAGTTATTCTATTACCGCAGAAGCACTTTCCAAGCCTTTTCTTTTTACGCAAGCGCTCTCATGTTGACATAACCCAGTTGTGTGTACTAACAGGTGTGTGTTTGTGTGTGTACGTGTGTCTGTGTAGGTGTTAACATGGTGAAGAGGAAGCTGGCAGCTCACGACAATCTCAAAATCACCTTGGAACAGAATGGAGACAAGTTTCATGTGAAGGAGAGCAGTAACTTCAGAACCCTGGAGATAGACTTTACACTGGGAGTCACCTTTGAGTACAGCCTCGCAGATGGGACAGAACTATCAGTGAGTCTTATGATGATAATGTAAACACAAAACATTAAATGTGCTTTGTCTGCTTATTTGTGGTTTGTAATTTGATAATGCTGCAGTCAAAGTAAAACTGAACTCGATGTATGAATGAACTATAGATGAATGTGGAAGTGTCAGCTGACTGCACCACATGCCTGACTGTCATTGTAAACTTGTACTTCTGCAAAATGTCTGATTATTTATGATTTATAGGGCTCATGGGTCATGGAGGGAGATACGTTGAAAGGAATTTTCTTCAGAAAGGACAACGGCAAACAACTCACCACCACAAGAGTTGTTGTAGGAGACGAACTAATACAGGTAAGAGTAAACATTACAGAATTATCAATGTAAATTAATTGATATTTGTGTAATATTTTGACTTTCTTTGACAGAGCTACAACTACGAAGGCGTGGATGCTAAGAGGATTTTCAAGAGAGGTTAGAGAAAACAGGGGCCAAACTTTCCACATTTTGTGTTAAATCGCCAACTCCTTGAACCAACAAAGGAGTGGCACTGACAAGCTTGAAGTATTTTATGCCTGGTTTTGATACTATAATAAAAATCCTACATACAGTAAGTGAAATTGTGTTATTTGCGTTAAAAAAGACCAACACCACATCTTCTTCATACAGTTATTGAGTCTTTATTTAACAATGAATAAAAATAAATATATATTATCTACAAAAATATAAGGTGTTGACAATTTGCATGTTGTTTTTTTGAATTTGTCACTCAGTCGATTGCTGAAGCATAGTACTGAGAACCAAATACACACGAAGAGGTATGAATGTAGGATTCTGTGTTTGGGGCACACCATCTCACATACAGTACAACTAGTGAGGAGTACAGAATTGTGATATTTTTAAGTTTATTTTATCATTTTGTATTGCAAATTGTATTCTGTGCCTGTTGAGTGTGAAATGACAATAGCAAAAATGTCAACAAAAGTCATGCATTGCCAACTGTGACCTTCAGCGACAAATTCAGGCAACTAGAATTTATAAAGCTTTTTGGAAATTGAAAAAAACTAAAGTAGGATGATGATTTGAAATATAGCTTTGCACCTCTTTACAATTATTGAATTATAAATGATTTTAAAAGAGGCAACAGAATTTTACTCAGTGTCCCTCTTTCTTTAGACACTTCCACATTAATGGTGCCACTAGATGTCGCTGTTGGCATTGCATACGTAAAGGATTTGCATACTCCATTTCCAAGGTCTCTATCCTCTTTCGAAAAACGATAAAAATGACAAGGCACTTTTGACACACCAAAAACAAAGCAGTGTGCCAAGTGAGAAGAAGAAGAAGATACAAGATACAAAAATGGACACGAGATGCAAAACACAAATGATGAGAAAAACACACACATAAGTTTTGGCAAGTGAGGCGTTTTTAGCATGGACTAGTGATGTAGAATTTGCAGATTAAAACAATACTAGTAATTATATTAAAACAATAAAAATGAAAGGACAAAACACTGGGTGTGAACAAAAACAATTAACTTTAAAGGCAACTGTAATCGTGAAGTACCATGTGATATAAAGACTGTATCTGTGTGTTAACTCTTCATAAAAAACAGTGCAGTTTGTATTTTAAAGTTGCATGTGATTCTCAAAAGACAAAGAAGGAGAAATAAAAAACATGGACCAAAGTTAATGATCATTGTAGCGGCGAATACAAAATAATTTAAATGCTTTCAATGCAAATCTGAAAACTGTGATTTCTGGTCTACTCGTCTTAGGGTGTATCAATAGTGTATCTTATTTTTTTTTACAAACAATGCAGACGAACAATTGTAGTTACAAATACAAGTTAATTCATAAATTTCAATATACTCGGTTAAAGTCCAATATAGTGTTTCTTTGTTCAATAATCCATTATGCACATGCTCATGCTAGGACTTTAAAGGCCACATGCAGGATTAAGAACAGAAAGAGGCATTTCTTCATAATGGCATAATCAAGTGGTATATCTGTAAATATATCTGCCCACTATGCGCAACAAACTCTGAACTCATAAAAGAATGAGAGTGCAAATGAAGAAACATTACACTGGGTTGTGAAAAAGGTAGGGAGTAATACATTACCCAATAATTAATTTGATCAAGATTGACTGAAGAACCTTTGCCATGAGATATAAAGGACCAATGGGATTCGCTCGACAAAGGCAGCCCCTAGTCATTTATTAACTATATGTTGTAAAAAATGAATTATGCATCGTTTACTTTAGACCTCCGACCCTTAAAAGTCCTATATTACGCAAAATTGTCTCTTGTGAGATTTAAGCCATGTTAGAATGTTGTTAACTCAGCAGAAACAGACCTGGAGTTATGTTTTGTTTAATTCACACATTTTAGTAACTCTCAATTATTAGTCTGTCTACAGCTCCAAAGCTCAAAATGCTCTGTTCCAACTTGTGATGTCATGTAATTGTAACTGTCATGGCAATTCCAGAGCTGAAATCATCCAAATGATTCTAATGAAAGTGTGTGGAGTTTAAAACACATAACATCACCAGGTGGAACAGAGGGTTTTCCGTTTGAGAGAAGAACTCAGCCTAAATATGCAGGATTTGTGTGTTAAACATGTGTGAATGAAACAAAACACAATTCCAGGTAGGTTTGTGATGAAGAAACATTATAACATAGATCAGAAAATAGCGTAATATTGGCCCTTTCATTTGTATAAAATGATTGAGCTGCCAAAACCTTTCAAAGCCTTCAAGAAAATTGGTATACTCATAAATAAACACTATAATTCATTATAGTATTTCACATTCCTTTTTGTTAGTTTGTTACACAGAACACCATCTCTACATTCAGATACATTCTCATTTCAGCAGCACAATTCAAAAATATTGCACAAAAACAGCCAATGTGTTGGAGATGAGAAACCCCTCATGTGCAAACAAACAATTTGGTGCAAACAAATGATTTGGTGCAAACTAAATCCCGCAGCAGGACAATGGAAGACAGTATAGGCTCTACATGTTAAACATTATTTCAACAGACTTCTTGCATAAATATGTTCCTTCTATCAGGGTTAGTAACAGGTCTGTGAACTCTTTGGCATCCAGTTAGTACTTGACTGACCGCCTCTGTAAACATCTTATCACTCATAAAAAACCACGATCGTCCAGTCCTTTGGCTGACACTGGGTTCCATTTTGCTGTGGGTTTATTGCTATTATGGCCTGTTAAGAAAAAAGAAAATAAAAATAAATCATATTTTTGAGAAATATGTGTAACTTGAATTAAAATGTTTGCAAAACGTTCACAATAGTTTTCTAGGGAGCTGCCTCTAAGATTATTTATGGTATTACACCTTTAAATCTAAATTATCCTGGCTCAGTTGCCATTTGGCACATGTGTTTATTTACACCTCAGCGTGTTCTCATTTGTGATGGGAGCCGCCGCAACAAACCTAGATTACATTACATCATATGGTAACTAAATATAAATGCATAGCGTTAAACCTGAAAAGGCCGAGGTTTGTAAGATGAGTAAATGCCACTTTATTTAATGCAATGTTTTATTGCATAAAAATATAATTAAGTAAGTCTAGTATGTTGCAGTTTTGATAAGCAACCTGTCAGAAGTTTTTCAAATGAAAAAAACTAACATATTTATTTGAATATTGTGTTGCTTTCAGTGGATACTACCTCACTAGTTTTGGGACTAGTCAGTGTTGTGTCAGAAACACAGTGCAGCTTATGGAGAGAGAGCTGTGACAGGAGACTTACTTGTATCAGGTCTGGCTTTTGGCACGTCTTGTGAGTGTGTGTCAGTGTTATCTCTGCGGTCACTGGGGACAGCAGTCCGTGGCACTGTGGCGGAGAGGACCAGAGGCCTCTGGTTGTGGTACTTGAGACGGTATGTTTCCGTCATACAGTTATCTACGTTGAAGTATGTGGTCAGAGATACCTCCTGAGCAGGACTGTGCTCTGCTCTCACACTGAGCCTCTCCTCACTGTCACAGGATGAGGGCGTGCTCCTCTCTATGTCCGAGCCTGACTTAGAGCTCGCGTCTGAGAAGGTCCGGTGGCCTGAGATGTCACTTTTCCTGTGAGGACTGGTGTAGGACGCGGTGGAGAGATGTGGAGATGAGAAGGGTTCTTGGAGCATCCTGGGACGAAACGCAGAGTGACTGGTCTCCCCCTGGTGAGGACCCCGTGCAGCCGGACGTACATGAGGAGAGCCTGCAGTGTGACTGTTCAGTTGACTCTCTGAGCTCACGCCGCTTGGGGGGAAGGCCAGGGTTATGTGGGGACACTGTGAATCCGAAGTGACAGGCTCGCTGTTGGAGCGGTAAGCACTGTCTCTGTCCTCTGGCTCTGACAGGGCCAGATCATCAGAGCTGTTCCACTCAGAGCTGCTGGTTTTGGCCATGTGCCTGAGGCCTGTGCTGTCTCCACTGTGCCCTCGACACAGAGGAGGCTCCTGGGGCTCACTCTGCCGGCTCTCTGAGCTGCTGCATTCTCTGTCTGAGCACGACGCTTTTCTGCACGAACTGGACGGGTGCTTAGACTTTCTTCTGCAAAAACATGACAATAACAAACATGAGCCTCTGACCTCTACATTAACTAATACTGCAAAATGCCACTCACCTAGAACTTGGACTGCTTTTAAGATGAGGATGAGATCCTTGGTCATTGCTCTTTCCCTGAGATTTGGCTTGATGTATGAATGTGAAATTTAAACAAAGAAAAACACAAGAAGATAACTCAGACCAAAGGTAATGTACTGAAACTCCATAGTATGTCCATGTTTGGAAACACAGCCTTCAAAAAGGAAAGGATTTAGGCATTGTGTAACATATAAGGATAAAATGTTTCCTTTATCTCTCATAATCTTAAGATTCACTGATCCATCCACATAATTTCTTGGAATAAATAAAATAGACCTCCGGTGCTGAAATCTGCCCTAATCTTATACAAAGGATGTAAGCACACAAACATGCATAGTACACTACAAAGCTATAGCAGCGTGAGTCCAGCAGGGGGCAGCAGAGTGGTTTTGGACCCCCACAGCTGGAGAGAGCAGTGTGAGCTCTGCACAGCAGGAGGCAGTATAGCACTGAATTCCTTTCCTTTAAAAATAGATGTGTTATTTTTTCTTAGCTGTTGCCCTGGAGAGGTCCCTGCTCAGTTAAATGTGGGAGCTGTAGGCTCACACAGTTTCTTTGAGATACATTTGTGCATCTGTACATATTAATGACAATACCGGAGGAAGAGTCCAGCTGTGCCATCAGAACAAGCTTTGTGGGATTATCATCAGATTACAGCCTGTGCAGGGCTGACTGGGTGAGGAGGTTAAAGAAACCAGTCCAGGCTTAGAGATCACACAGAAATTAATCAACCTTTAATTAAATTCACTGTGACCAGCAGACCCCACCTACTTTTTGCACTTTTAAATCCAATAATAAGTGTAATAGTATAAAATAAATAAACGCTTTAACGATAAAGCGATTCTAAACGCTTATAGAATACACATAAAGGACATACCAAACAATGTACATAAGTAATCTTACCATTGTAGCATGGAGAAGAAACGTTTTGCTTTGACTCTGCCCCCTTTTGGTGACACTGGCTGAAAAAGACACAGTAGTGTTAGCGAATTGAAGATAGCATCAGAGATGTTTAACTTTAAATTAGTTGTCAATAATTATTATGGTAATGGATATGGCCCTAATGTACTTTACATTCATATTTTCTGCTAATCTGATATATTTAGCCATATAATACAGATCAGCTTTGTATGAAAAAAGAATGAAGAATGTGTTTATATTTGTCATTCAAAGTGTCAATTGTCATAACAAATATACAATTAATATAATAATTTTAGATTGATATAGTGTGAAAGTGTAAGTAGGATAAAAATATTTAGTGAAACTGTTTTGCCACAATATAACGCATGGCCTTCACAGCGACGGCACATCTCACCTCTTTAACTGAGCATCTGCTGCTCGTGGGTCTTTTAACACAAACCCGTCTACACCAGGGGAGTCTGGGTTTGTGGAGCCACTGCTTAGCCTGTCACTGCTCTCATATCCAGACTCTGTCCTCTGGATAGTCCAGGTCTCACTGCGGAGCAAAGTCTTGGGCGCCCCTTTCAGTCTGCCTCCTCTCTGCTGAGCTCTGCTCTCAGAGTCCACTGAGCTGTGACTCTCCGTCTCCAAGCGCTGTTCATCTTCATAGATCGTCATTAAACTCTTCTGTTTACGCTCGTCTCTGTGAGTAGAGTCCCGCTCACGTTCTTTTGGTTCAGAATGCCCCCTGTCCTGACCGGGTCTGTCCTGTCCCGGTCTGTCCTGTCCTGGTCTCTCCTGCCCTGGTCTGTCCTGCCCCGTCCTGTCCTGCCCCAGTCTCTCCTGCCCCGGTCTGTCCTGGGGTTGGGGCTTGCTGCGGTGCGGGCTGTCGTGCTGCTGCTGACGGCGCTGTTCAAGCTCGTTCAAGACAGTGTCCACGTTCAGAACTTCTCGGATTGGTCTCCAGGTGGACTTGGTTTTGTTTCGGTTTGCGACACCCTTTTCCCAGTGTTCCTGACTGTCCTGATCCTGATTCCGACTTGGAGAGGGGTTGTTCTTGCGCATGTGGCCAGGCCCCTGTGTGCTGCGTGAGTCCTGTGTGGATCTGCTGCAGCGGTTGGACTTCTCGGAGCGTGGATATGTCTTCATTCTGTAATCAGGAGCGAGCCGAGGTCCGTTTTCTGGTGGAGAAGAAGATCGACCATGAGCCACATCTGAAGAGGAAATATAAGAGCCAAATGTGTCACAGCTTTCCCCTCAGCACATTTGAGCAGATGATCGTTACCTTTGAGTTGTGGAGGGTCCGTTTTACGATGTCCTCTGTCCTTACGGGCTACGTCACCTGACCTCTCCATGAAGGGATCTTGGTATTTTTTTGGACTTCCGAGAGGGTGCTTCACTGAAAATAATAACTGGAGTTGTATTAACTACGCTATGCTACAATTATTTAAACTTAAACTCATACAAAACGTGCTGCAGTCAAGCTCAAATTAGACTCCATCCTGACATCCTTATGTTAAAATATCACAGTCATAATGAACATAAATGAGCTACTGTGCCGATATGATCTGTGTGGCTTCATGTGAGACACAGGAAACTGAGACAGTGTTAACATCTGTCTTCACATCAGATCTCGCACCAAAGCATTATCATTAACAGCTGCCTCTTAAGCACTTCAACTGTTCTTTTTACAGAGACGATGGAAAAAAGAAATATTCCAGAAAAATAAAAATAAATATAACAAAAAACTTTAAAGTTCTTGAATGTCCCAAAGCAGAAAAACTCATCTCAAATATTTTAACTCTCACTCTGAAATGAATGAGCAGAAAAAAATTACAAAAAATGAAATGCAAAAACATCTTTACAAACTATGCACATGACCTGGAGTTACATATAAAGGATGATTTCCTGCTGCTAATCCTAAGCGAGATCTTAATACTGAAATATTGTTCCACTGTGACGCAAATTCAATAAAGATCAGACACAATCACAAACTTAAATACCACAGCAACATGCAAAACATTAAAAATACATACTTACTCTTACTTTCCAGCCCCATGCCAGGTAATACATCAGGACATCACTCTAAACTAAGACCGAACATGAAAACAAGCTGCATGGCGTCTACCAAAATCCAGACGGATGAGTGAATCAATGTGACTGTGCAGAGGAAAAGTGAAGTATGGGAGGGACACAGGAGCGGGGATTAGGGAGGAGGCGTGGGTGGTAATCTGCATGCAACAGAGACATCATCCTCATGTCAAGTTCAAGCCAGAGCACAGGGCAGCACAATCTATCTGCACAGCCCAAAGCACAACTGGCATCCACATCTACAGCTCTTTTAGTGCTTTCATCATACCATGCCATACTCCATGCAACTGTACAACAACTCACCCTTATGTAATAGACAACCCTATGTCATGTGAATCACTATTTTACTGTTTCAAACCGTTACGAACTTTTGTAGTTGTATATAGTGAGATATATTTGTATTACTATATTTCTATATTTTATTTTTACTTGTACACATATGTTTATATATTTATGCCTTGTTTGACACCAGTCTCTTTTTATTTTTGCTGTTTGTAATTATATTTATTGTGATGTATGAGCTACTGTGTCCAAATACTTGCGTAAGTTCACTGATATAATAAATCGGAATAGATATATAAGGCAAGGGGTTATCAAATGTTAGAAGTCAATAGTTCGGACACACCATATCATTCAGTTCTTCTTCTTTTTTTTTTTCTTTTCTTTTTTTTTTAAGTTTTGCTTTACTTTCTACATTTTATATACACACAGAAGACTCCAAATATATGAAGTAAGATATTTGGAATTATGTAGCAAAGAAAAAAAGTTAAATAACTCAAATAATTATATGCATTTTGTTTGCATTAATGGGATATTTGGGGTAATTTTTTTAGCTATATGATGTAGAAGGTTGAAATAATAACTCATTTGACTCATTACAGATGCAAACTAAGTACATACCTGTTTCATTCTGCTATGTATTTATTGCAGTATTGTAGATTTAGAATAGTTTTTGCAGTTTAAGTCTGCTCTTGGGTTATGGTGTCAATGCCATAAATTTGTTTTCAAGAATATCAATATATCATACTTTAAAATTTGCTATTGTGACAGACCAAATAGTCCACATTTAGTACATAATTCCACATATTATATTTGATGTCTTTATTTAAAATGTAGAAAATACTATAAACAAAAAAAAAAAAACATTAAATGAGAGGGTGTGTCCAAACTTGTGACTTGTACAGTATCTATTCAGTACCTGAGACATCTCCATTGACTTGGGTTTTGTAGCGTGGGCACATAGTGGTCTGTCTTGGGGCATCTTCATTGGACACAGGGGTTCCCTCAGGATTGGTGTAAAACAAAAGGAGGGGCTGAAAATGTCCCCTGATGCATTTGGAAGCGACATCTTTCCACTTGGATCCAATCTGACAAGCAGAGAATACGAGAAACATTGGCAGGTGGTGCAGAGCAGCCGTAGTATGTGAATAAAGAAGATTAAAGGGCCCATATTGCACTATTTTGTATGGCATAATGTTGTTTCTACATAAAAAACATACGTGGAGTTTGTCACTCATGTTTAACACACAAAACCTGCATTTTTAGGCTGTGTTCTTCTCCCAAACACCTCCATACACCTTCACAAGAATCATTTGGGTAATTGAAACCCTGGAATTGCCAATCTCTACTGAACAAATGGTAAAATGTTGCTGTTAACTTAAAAACTACCACTTGGAACAGAGCATTTTGAGCTTTGGAAATGTAGACAAACTAATAATAAAGTGACTAATCATATGTGAATGAAATAAAACACAACTCCATTCATGTTTTTTGATGAGGTAACGAAATTATAACATGACCTAAAGCTCACAAGAGTCAACACAGTGAACTTTAAAATGAGGGATCCTACCTCTTTTACAGTAGCATCGTCAAAAAACATCCATTTGGAAGATTTGGTGTGATAGGCAAAGGCTGAGTAGTGTTTACTAGAAAAACAGATCATCCCCACCAGATGTAGTTCACTGCGTTTGGCATTTTCATCCGTCACGCGGTTGAAAAGCTGAAAGAGAGTCAATGAGACGAGTTTTGATCTGCAGATATGGCTCACAACTAAACAAGTGTATCAAATCACTCACCAATACGAAACGTGTAATTAACAAAATGTGAACAGTTTAGAGATGGCCAAGATATGTATAATTTTTAGTAAAACTCTGAAGATACTACAGAATCATAGACTGTTTAAAGAAGTGGACATCACTCCCTAAGGCTAGTAGTTACAGGAGTAAATTTGGTGCCAGTTCCATATTAGGAAAAGGAATTTATGAGGAAATTCTTTACAAAAATAGTGAAATGGCTAAATAAAAACACCAGGATCTGGGTAGAGTGGGTTAATTTGAACATTTTAAGACCAAAACAACAAGGCTCACTATAGTAGTTAGAGAGAGAGGGATGACAGTTTTTCAGTTGGAGCCAGAGTCAGTGGACCCAGAAGTGCCCCCATGTTCATTTCCTATTTGGAAGCGGATGTCCATGTTTATATACAGTCTATGAATATAAAAAAATACTACTATTATTATTACTAAATATACAACAATAATCCGTGTATCATTCATTATTTTGTTTTTCAAAATAAAACCAATAATAAGAAAACAAAAAAACTACTATTTTCTTCATTATTTGTCTCCAAAACGAACAAATGATTTTTTTTTTTTACTAAATCAGGACTAAACCAGGACTAAACTGGTCTCAGTCCTGGTCTGGTCTTGGTCTCAGTCCTGGTCTCAGTCCTGGTCTGGTCCCGGTCCCAGTCTCGGTCTCAGTCCCAGTCTGGTCCTGGTCTGGTCCTAGTTTCAGTCCTAGTCCTGGTCCCAGTCTGGTTCCAGTCTCAGTCCTAGTCTCGGTCCCAGTCTGGTCCCGGTCTGGTCCTGGTCTCAGTCCTGATCACCCGACAGTGTACACAGGCGCACATTCGGGCCCGTCCTGACACTCAGTATTGATTCAGTCCTGGTTCAGTCCTGGTTTAGTCCTGGTTCAGTCCTGGTTCAGTCCTGGTTCAGTCCTGGTTTAGACCTGTTTTAGTCCTGTTTTAATCCTGGTTCAGTCCGTATGCTGCGCAAAAGTCTGGCATCGCAGTTTAAGTCACAGAAACAGGAAACGGCCGTTATCCATTTTTTCCATTATTCACTTAAACACAAAACCAAAAACTGAAAAAAAAAAAAAAATTGTTATCTGTTTGTTCATTTTGGTTTTGGAGACAAAATATAGTTTTTTGTGTGTGTTTTGTTTCCTTTTTTTTGTTTTATTCTGAAAATCGAATGAACGAATGATTTTAAATGCTTCAACATCTTCTATTGTGAGCTCAACAGACTGGAAAGCTCTAAACCAAACCAAATGCAATTGAATGTGAGTCTACAAAGTGTTTTATTATTGTGTCTGTAGCTGATACAGTGCTGTTCTTACCCCGGTCAAGTTGAGTCGTGGTCCTATAGCCCTGATGACATCATCTGTCAGGTCGGACTGCTCGGCGTCCCACACAAACCCAATGGTGACGATCTCGGGGCAGTTCATGAGCACTCTGCGAATCTTAATGCTCTGCCCACAGTCACTCTGCAAAACACGGACAGCGTCATGAGACAAAACTGAACACAAAAATAGGGTTTATGAACTAAATTAAAAATAAATGCAGAGTAATAAAATGTCAGTGTTTGAACAAGCCACTAGAATATTGCTTTTGTCTATTCCTGGCACTTCATAAAAAGCAGCTGAAAGTCAAACAAGCGCTCTGAAGAGAAAGACTTTATTATCTTCAGACTGAAACTAGAAGTGTCAAAGAGTAATTTTAGAACAGTGAATCTAATATTCCTTTAGTTAAATGTGCGTTGTTCTGTTTGAATTAAAGGTACGCTGTGTAACTTTTTGATTGGGGGTCTGTCACCTGCTTGTTTCTATGGATATGTCATTGCTCGGCCTGGAATGTTCCACAGTATGACATTAAACAGCTCTACCTCACATTTAATCGATTACAGGAGGTTTTATAGCTCAAAAATACTTCGAAAAACAGGGATTCTGACTGTGAGCGGGGTCGCCTCTCTGACCTATATCTTGGCCCGGTTTGGTCTCCATAAAATTAGAAATATTTAATGCCATACTGTGAAATATTCCAGACAAAGCAATAGCATTTCCATAGAGAAAAGCTTTTGATGCACCCTCCATCAGAAAAGCTACACAATGCACCTTTAACTACAAATAAGATAACAATAATAATATGTGCATACCCCAGTTATACATGATATAAAATACAAAAAAGTGTTCTTGACTGACTTGAAAAGTATTTGCAGATTTTGTACCAATGCTGATTTAGTGAAGAGAACAACAATTTCTATAACTACACCTGCACCTATTTAGAAAAAGCTGATAATAAAAAATATATATGTCTCACAAATATACAACTATGTTAAATGCAGCAGTGATAAAAGAAATACTCAGAAGTACAGACACTGAAGCAAGTAAAAGTACTAACTAAAAGTACCTGTTTAAAAACTTACTTAAAGAGTAAAAAGTAAAAAGCTGACTTTGAGATCTAATAAAGTTTCAAATGTACTCTTCTACTGTTCTGATCAAATTTTGTGCTGAAACAAGTGAATTGAACATTTTTTATTTGTATATTTTTCTTTGCTCAAACTACAACAGTGTTAAAATAATTTCTAAACTAATTCAAAGCAGAAAAGTACATAGCAGCCGCAAAAACAGATAAAACTTAGCGGATAATCTTTCCTGCTATTTATAACATAGCACGAGTCTGGCTGTGTCTGCTACTGGCCACACAAGAGCATGTCACAGCTCACAGCAAAAGTACAAACTGTAAAACATGGAGCCCATATTTTAGAGTTTGTTCATCTCTTTTCATGTACGGATTGCCTCACCCTGCATGTAGTGTGTGTATATTATAGTCTGATTAGAGTTGTCCACACTACCGCAATATTGCAGCATATCAAAGCAATAACATCACACCATGGAGACAATAACATCACACCATGGAGACTCTACAAAGATATTTTATAGTTTGTTCATCTCTTTTCATGTACAGGCTGCGTCTCCCTGCATGCTGTTTGTGTATTATAGTGTACATGTATATATTTGATTAGACTGGTCTGTACCGGGCAGCTCCGGAGGTCCCCAGTGTTGTTTGCCGCCTGCAGCAATTCTCCAAACATGTCAGACCTCAGACGCTCAGTCTTTCCCAGCAAACGGTCAACCTGCTGACTGCATAAACACACAGAAGAGCACAGTACTACTTCAAAACAAGTACTTTTAGACAGTACTGGTCTTTGTAATGACTAGGCCTGTCATGATGAATATTATATTGATTTATCATTCAACATGTGACACATGGAACAACAATTTTTGGGGGTCATAATTCATCATTGATACTTTTTCCTTGTACTAAAGAGGAATTTTAGTTATTTTTATGTACTATTAAGGCCGTGCAATTAATTGGACTTTGATCGCGATATCGATTTGTGTATCAAACGATCTCCAAACTCATATAATCAAGTTGAAACAAAGCGTAAAAAAGTTTATTTTGGGATATTTTTTATATAAATAAGTATAATTATTATATTTTTTAAATATAGAGATTGTAGAACAGCTGGATATATAGTTTATTTTGGATATATTTATGTTTTTCTATGCCTTATTTCATGGCCAAAGTTTATTTTATTCATTTTTTGTGTTTTATACTTCGCAAAACTGCTCTAAGGTACATGTTTGCAACCTATATTTATTTTCAATTTGAAAGTTTTGCATAAATTATCAATAACAAAGTGGGGTTTTTTTTGAGAGAGAAATGCTGACTAAATGCATTGTGTAACTAAAAAAATTGTCTGAATAATCGTGATTTCAGTATTGACCAAAATAATCGTGATAATGATTTTTTCCATAATCGAGCAGCCCCATGTACTATAAGATTTCAGCTATAGAGAGTTGGATTATGAACTCATTATAGACACAAACTAGTTTTGTTAGTGTTGCATTCTGTTATGTATTTATTACAGCCCATATTTTTAACAATATTGTACATTTAAAATACTTTTGGGGGGATAATTCTCCTTTATGGTTTGGTTTCAATATTATCGATTTATTGTTTATATCTACTTAAGCAATTTATCGCACTACAGAATTTGTTATCGTGATAAACCTAGCATTCACAAATACAAAGGGGGCTATTGTGATGTAAAGAAGTGAAATGAGAATTTAAAAATGTAAAAATATACTGAAATCAATCTGGACATTCATAGATATTACTGACAATGAAACAGGCTGCAGTGTTTGTATGAATATATTATGCATATACAGGAAAGAGTATATTTGGAAAGCTGTAAAATACAAATCAAATAGCTGAGACGGGTAACCTTATCTAATACTTTTGATATTCAAACCAGGATTAGCAAACTGACCTGATTTTAATATCCTGGTTTTAAAGCTGTGGCACCAAATCAAGCACTCACCATAAAGCAGTGGTGGAGACGTAATGAACAAACTCTGTGAAGGGGTGAGGGTCTGAAGAAGCACCACAGCAACGGCACACAAACTGAAAACATGAATAAATAAATATCAAAAAGTCAAATCATCCAAGTACAGAGCCTGGCTGACAGAGGAGTGTATATTACCTGTTCATAAAGCATCATCGCAAACTTCTGGTGTGTGATGCAGGATTTGGAGGTGCAAGAATCTGTTGCTGAATCTGACTCGATGTGCAAATGGATTTTCTCTAAGATGTTCTCCTGAAGTACGAGCAAACACAAAACATCACCTTAAAAGTGTATTGTGTAACTTTTCTGGGGGAGGGCCCATCAAATACTTTTCTCCATGGAGATTTTATTGCTTTGTCTGGAATGTTTCACAGTTTGGTATCACAGAGACCAAACCAGACCAAGTTACAGGTCAGATCTGTGCAGAGGCAACACTGTTCATAGTCAGAATACCTGTTTTTCTATTTATTTATTTTTTTTAGCTATAAAACCACCTGTAAATAAATAAATGTAAGGTAGAGCTGTTTAATGTCATACTGTGAGCAATGACATATCCATAGAAACACAGATGACGGATCCCCAACCAAAAGTTACATAGTGCACCTTTAAATAAAACTATAACTAAAAACAACATCACCAAAACACATTATCAACTATTCCACAACAGCAGCACTGGGCTCTTCTCTTAAATTAAATCTCATCTTTTTAGATTATTTTACTCTGTTTAATGTTTTTAAAGGTGCACAGTGTAACTTTCTGTTTGCCTTCATAGAAATTACATTGTTTTGCTTTTAAATGTTCCACAGTATGGCATTGAACTTATCCATTGTGCATTTATAATAACAGGTGATTTTATTTCTCCAAAATGCTTTAAAAAACTTTAAAAACTTCTTCAGATTTAACCTGTAACTTGGCTTGCTGGCACATGTTTGTCTACATGGAGATAGATAAACTGAATGCCATACAGTGGAACATTCCAAGGAAATAATAACATTTCATGGAGTCAAGCAAGTGGCAGGCCCTGCACCAGCAAAGTTACACAGTGCACCTTTAAACTGTATTAATGTTGTTTTTTTTAATTGAGTTTATGCCCTGTAAAAGTGACCCTAGGTGTTAGAAAGATGCTCATAAATAAAATGTATTATTATAATAAAAAGCCCCAGTGTTAACTATAAACTGTGTACATACAAAGCACTCTGCTGCGTCGTCCATCAGGCCCAGCTGAAAACGCTGTTCATCTTTAAAGGTCTCGGCTAAGGCGTTACGCAGGCTGTCTGAGGGCAGGACTCGCTCTCTGCTCTGCTGGAACTGACTGAAGATGCTCTGGAAAAATATAAGGATGAGCGTGAGTTTTTATATAAATGTATTTTAAATGTACTTGTCATTTGAATGAACCAACCTTTAATGCACAAAAAATACAGGCGTCACCAAGACAAAAGTGACCTGAGAGCTGCCGTAGACTTCGTCTGAAAATGTCCAGCTGCCACAGAACCTGTGTATACACCAAATGGAAGCAGGATGACACCAAAATGAAGCCTGTTATACTAATGTAAACACCAGTGTAACAGTTAGCTTTTAAAGGATAAATTCAAAGTAACTATCCATCATTTCAGATAAAACAATGCACAAAAGTTAAAGCTCTTAAGAGTCTCCACTTGACCTAGATGTTGTACCTGAACAGCACTGTTCAGGAAACAGCTGTTCTGCCCGGGCTCGTTGATCAGGCCTTTGGTCAGAGCCAGAGACAGCATGCTGCCCGGCTGGTACGATTTCTTCAAACCTCCCCCCGATTTTTTGAACATCTTTGCCCATGCCTTAGTGTTAGAACCTGTGAATAACAGCAATGGTTCTTTATGGAGCCTTATGACATATAAACTTACAAACTTTTATTATTATCCAGCATGTACAGGGCTGGGCTCAGATACCTTCTCCGGAGTTGGAGGAAGACTTGTTGCAGCTGGACATTCTGGGAGCTGGGAGCTGGTGCGGAGGTCTGGCCATGGGATGTGTCCATCTCAGCCCCACGCGCCCACACAGCAGCTACTGCACAGCATCATTCAGCCACAGGGCAGCCTCCACCCAGAGACACTGCACATTGAGTGAAAGTGGACTTAATCTGAAAAAAGGAAAATTATAGAGGGATCATATAACTGAGTGGTGCATAACAGCTGAATGATTTAAAATAAGTCTAATCTCCACAATGCTACAGTATCTCAACAGCCTATGGAGTCCTACAAAGGAAACTGATACGGCTAACTGCCTGACGACAAAACAATAACATACACAACATTATAAAGAGTAAATCACATGCATGGCCAATGAGAGCACTAAGTGGAATACTGGTCCATGAAGGACACTTTGTGCCATTTTTACATTGTTGCTGATCTAGGCTACGCAACGTTTTCAACGTAAAGGCTAATGATATATCGTCCATGTGTTTGTGCACCATCCTGGCTCGCGCACAGACACCATGTGATGACATTATAGGCTTATACGCATAATACACAATCTAAGATGCGTTTTCCTGTTAGATTGGGTTCAAAGAGGACATAAATCCTTTGTCAAAAGCGCTTGGTGCGTGGTTCGGTCTGTTCGACACAGCAGTAAGCGGACACACTGCCAGCACTTCACTGTACAGTGAATCTACATTTGCCGCAACGGTTTGGACAAAACAAGCGCACTCACCTCACAATAATAAAGAGAAGCGCCAGACGACGTGGAGGGTTCCAGCTGTCAACGCGAGCAATCCCCGCTCTTCTCCCTAAACCCGCGAGGCAGAGGCTGGCGAGGGCTCACTGCAGATGTCCAGACGCATGTAACACACTATCTGTCATAGTGCACCACTCACAGCCCGTCCGACATGTGCATTCAGCACAGCTCCAACATCAGCGTGCCGTCGCGAAAACCAAACGCCGTTGTTGGCTCGGTGGAACGTGTCCCTTTTTGCGCTCAAACGGGGCCAGTGTTGGTGGCCTGTGCCAGAATGTCCGACGCGGATTAGTGATGTTTTGAGACTTGGTGAGGTCAAACTCCGCCCCTAGTGTAGCCTCAAGTACACTGCCGCTCCAAAGCAATCCTCAGACTGTGCGTGGCGAAGCGCGCGCTGGCGGAAGGTCAGACTTCCAACTTGTCATGATGATGATGAGAGAAGACATCACATGACTTCAGTGGTTTCATAATCATGCAGCACCGTGGGCAATAAAGCTTACCCCTTTAAACCGCCTTTGTCCAAAAACCTCAGCACAGTGTAGCCCTTTGTGTGAGATTATTGCAAATTAAAGGTCCTGTATTACTCTGATAGATTCTTGTGAACTTTAAGTCATGTTAGAATGTAGTTACACCTCAAAAACACCCAGAGTTGTGTTTTGTTTCATTCACACATGTTTGAGTAATCCTGTATTATTAGTCTGTACGTCTCCATAGCTTGAAATGCTCTGTTCCACCTTGTGATGTCATGAAGCGACTTTTAGTTTAGTAGAAATCGGCAGATCCAGGGATGAAATTATCCAAATTATTCCAGTGAAGATGTATGGAGTTCAAAAAGAGTGGAGCACTTCCTGTATTATCACATGACATCAAAAGATAGAAAAGATTATCTAATGTTTGAGAGAAAAAACTAGCCTAAATATGCAGGATTTGTGTGTTAAACATGCGTGAATGAAACAAAAAAAAAAAAATCCAGGTATGTTTTTGATGAGGAAACACCATTACAAGATCAGATCAGAAAATACATAATACTGGCCCTTTAAACTAGAAATCACATGTCATATTTCAAACAGTCAACTAAACCTTCCTTCTTAGCTGCATTGTGTTGTAAAGGGCATATTGTGTTGTTTCTGTAGCTATAGAGCCGCAGTAAACAGGACATGGAGTGACCAAATGGGGGCAGATGGAGGGCCTGGCAGGGGAAAGCCTGCAGAGCCCAGCAGCTTTAAGTGCACACACATAAGAGAGCCACAGTCAGCAAAATTCACACTCTCCAACTCTTGTGTGTCATCCAGATTGTTTCTCTCTGTGAGTAGCTGATACACAAGTAACAAAAAAGTGAATATTTGAGCTGGTATTTATTAGATTGTGGGATTTAAAGAGACTATATTATGCAATTTTCTGTTATAATGTTGTTTCCTCAGCACAAACAGACCTGGAGTTTTGTTTGTTTCATTCACACGTGTAACACAAAAACCCTGCTACACAGAGTTCTTTTCTCATACATAAAAAATTCTGTTCCACCTTGTGATGTCATGTGGTAATACAGGAAGTTCTCCACTGTGTTTTTAAACTCAATACACCTTCAATAGAATCATTTAGATAATTGAAACCCTGGAAAAGCCAATCTCTACTGAACAAAAGGTAAAAGGTAGCTAAAAACTACCGCTTCAAGACATCACAAGGTGGAAGAGAGCATTTTTAGAGCTTTGGAGATGTAGAGATGCACAGACTAACAATAAAGAGTTACTCAGAGATGTGTGACTGAAACAAACCATAACTCCAGGTATGGTTTTGATGAGGTAATAGCCTTACAACATGGATTAAAAATCACAGTTTTGCGTAATATAGGACCTTTAAATCTGTATTCATCATGGATTTCAACTTTCTACCATATGTGGCATTTTGAGGACTCTAAAACAGATGGTTAAAAGTTTAGATATGGGTGAAAAAGATTCACTGCAAAAACTAAACTCTAGCCAACTTAAAATTAGTTGAATTAAGAAAGTTTTATCATGATTTGAGTAAATTTGAATAAAATTATCTACCAGTGGAACAAGACTTTTTGTACTTAAATGATGAAAATTAATTTTGCTACATTTAAAATAATTAAAACAACAACTCTTTGCACTTAAAATAAGAAACAAAATGTAATGTTGCTTGAATTAAGAAAAACACTCTTTTTCCATTAGGAGATCATTTTACTTGTCAAGTTGAATCTACTCAAATAAAGTAAAATGTCCTTAGTGCAGTGTAGGCAAGTATGCAGTAGAAATCAATCTGCAGAAAATGAATGTAAGTCCATGTGATATCCCCCAAAAATATGAAAATGCAACATATTCAGGCATGTGTTTATCACAAAATGAGGATGAAAATCATGTTGTACTTGAGAGTTTTTATGTGTAAAATATGTGTGTTCATTTCAACTGATGATATGTAAACGTCTCATGTCCTGCCTTTGCCGTGATTCAGAGCTACGGAAGAAAACCTGTTCATAATTTAACAGACACTTCTTGCAGTTTAATGGTGTGGTGGCTGCTGCTGATGACTCTCTAACATTTACACTGGCCTTCATGCATAAATGGACATTACTGCAAGAATTACCGTGGAGCACTTTAATCTATACATTACAGAAGAAGAAACTCAAACTCAACTCATTTCAGCTCAAAGATTCAATGAGAAACAATTGTGTTAAAATAATAAATGTCTTCTTGTTAAAGCAACGCTGTGAAAAATATAAAATAAAAAATGCAACTTACTGAAAAAAAAAAAGAGATCCGAGGCACCCCGATGTCTCCTTTTTTTTTTTTGTTATTTACCCAATTGGGATCTCCGAAGAGCACTTGATTATTATTATTTCACTTCAGTGGTGATCCTGCGAGTGCTCTAATTACCATATCTACTTCTTTGCAAAATAAAAAGCATGTTTTTAATTTTATTTTTTATTGCACTGATTAATGTAGAGAAATATAAAATCAAACAGTATGGCATTTGCAGTTCACCACCTCAAAAAAGTGATTCTTTAAAGGGAGTATTATATATATATATATACTTTTGAATACTATATATTACACTTTTTTCTGATGTCATAATATTGTTTCCTCATCACAAACCTACCTTGAGTTGTGTTTTGTTTCATTCACACATGTTTAATGCACAAATCCTGCATATTTGGGCTGTGTTTTCTGAAACTGAAAACACTCTTTTACGCCTTGTGATGTCATGTAGTAATACAGGAAGTACACTGTGTTTTTAAACTCCATACATCTTCACTAGGATCACTGATTGATCTCTACTGAACAAAAGGTAAGAAGCATTTTGAGCTTTGGAGATGTAGACAGACTAATAATAAAGGGTTACTCAAACATCTGTGAATGAAACAAAACACAACTTCAGGTAAAGTTTTTAATAAAGTTACAACATTACAACATGGTTTAAAGCTCACAAGAGTCTACAGGACCTTAAATATTATAGCACTGTATTGACTTTGTTTTATTCTGTGTTTAAAATGATGAATGAATGAAAAACCAGCCAATTCCTGATACAGCACAATGCACCTTCTTCCAGTTAGACACATCCCCCTGAGACTCACACGCAGACATCTTTCTTATGTTTATAAAAAGATCTAAGTCCTATTTTTCCACTCTTCAGAGGCACTTTTGAGTTATTTTGGGATTTTTATTTTAGATTCTTCTTTCATATCATTCCTGGTTCAATGTTTCTAAAAACGACTTCAATGTCTCAAGCACAAAAACAATATTTAGCGAATGTTTCCTGTAATAACTTTGGAGATGCATCCTCACATTAAAGTGCGTATCACGGGATTTTATTATTCTCTCATTTTAATGGGATGGGATTTTGGTGGGATGTTGTATCTGTTCTAAATTGCAGTTTTACACCAATCAAGAAGCAATGTGTGAAGAAAAGTTGAAAATATGTTGAAAATGATGACATGTAGAGAGTGCTAAATCACACTAGGAACAATTCGACCCAAAAGTTAGACATAATTTACACACAGGAAGCACATATTTCAGATACTTTAAACATTAATTAGACAAAATAAAGGAGTTTTCTTGTGTTTTTATTTTTGTCAGATGATAATCTTTGTGTACATTAGGAGTTTGGGCCCAGTGCACTACGACAAACTAAATCTAGTCAAGTTAAAATGATTTGAATTAAGAAAGCTTTATCATGATTTGGGTAAATTTCACTTGACAAGTAAAATTATCTGCCAGTGGAACAAGACTTTTTGTACTTAAAATATGAAAATACATCTTGCTACACTTAAAATAAGAAAAACAACAACTTTTTGCATTTAAAAGAAGAAACAAAATCGAATGTTGCTTGAATTAAGAAAAACTCACTTATTCCATTGGTAGATCATTTTACTTGTCAAGTTGAATCTACTCAAATAAAGTTAAATATTATTAATGTAAGTCATTTTAACTTACCTAGATTTAGTTTTTTCCATTGTATACTACATGGAGCTAATGGTTTTAAACCTTAAAATGGCCAAAATGAGAAGACAAGTGTAAATGTTTTGCAAAAATCTTAAATATAATGATGTTAACTGTGTTTTAGTAAAATAGTCTTCAGCACATTAAACTATTTCAATGGCATGATGATTAGCTCGAGGTTAAACAGTGTTCCTTTAAATCTACCTCCCACGTTACAAAAGAGATCTCCAGGCAGGTATCAATACTTTTATTTTGTACTTTTATTTACATCCCATTCACACATTATATAATTTACAATTGTATTATACATAACTATATTTTGGTATGTACATAAATAAGCAGTAAACACTCTTTCAACTAGAAATGTATGTTTATTGTAAGACAACTAACAAAACTGCAACTATGTTTACTGATGTAGATTGAAACCCCGTGTTCATATTACAGATCATCAGACTCTGGGACTGTGGGCGGCTGGAGGGTGATGGTGGGCACGATGAGGTGGGTGCCCTCTGAGATCCACCCCTGGGCAGTCCTGTTGAAGGTGGGTCTCCTGAGCCCGGCGTCCTGGAGCTCGGGGTACTTGGGCGGGTTCAGGTCCAGCTCTGGGAGTTTGAATGTGATTCCTCTGGGAGCCTTGTCAAAACCCCCGAAAGGTGTAGCCACTCTGGAGTGAGAAATAAATGTTAAAAGTGGGGATTTTTTTGTTTTAAAGGTGCAATGTGTAACTTCTGGTGGAGAATCCATCACTAGCTTGTCCCCTGAAAGCTCTACTATATAAAATTATTAGTGTTTTATTGCACAGAAATACCTTGAAAAGCATGCATTTGAACTTTGAGAGTGGGCTTGCTTCTCTACAGATCGGAACTGGACTGGCCTGGTGGTATCACGTACTTTATGGAGATAAGCTT